AGAGAGAGAGAGAGAGCTTAACGGCTAGAACAATCTAGGGATGCAACGGCAGACTAAATAATCACTGGCAACTTCACGTGATTTCAACTTCTAGCGGAGCAGAATTCATAATCTCTGTGCAGCGACAGTGAGTCCGTTGAGGTGCAGCTTTCTTGTTGAACGCAAGTTGCAGGTCAGACAATTTCTGCGACCTCTAATGTATGCATATATTATTTGATGAAGGCTTTGGCAACAAAATTTAGGTGGACTGGCTGTGGTTTTAAATGCAGATCATATTATTTGCAAAAAAGCATGACATTAAGAGCAAAGATAAAAATCACAAGTTCAAATTTAACTTCAAAAGTATATCTTAATGGAGAGTGTTAAGATTTAAAAAATTATCTTTCGAAAGATCTTAACATTTTTATCTTTTATCTTTTACATAAATTGATTAGATATAATTTTAAAGATAAAAATCTCTTAGTTTAGATTGTTATTCTACACCTATAAAGAAATACATTTAGTTTAATATCTCGTAAGTATTTTTTTTACCTTCTATTTTAATTTCAAGATGGAGATTTTTTTAGGAGAATTTTGAAATAATAATTTTTTTGAAAAAAATATAAGGTTATAATATTTAATGTGGGCTATAAGGTTCGTAATACCGTACCGTACTGGTATTTCGACCTGGGTTCGGTACCGGTACGGTACGGTATACCGAGCGGTACACCCAGGTGTATCGAGTACTGTAGCACTGCTACAGTGCTATAGTGCACTCAGACCGGTAACAATCGGTCCGCGTACTGATAACCTATCGAACCGGTACGTACCGCTCGCTCGGTACGACAGACCCTGGTGGGCTATACTAGAAAAAGTGTGTACTTAATTAATGAAAGAAAAAATTGGAAGAAAAATAGAAATGTCATGTTGTTTTACTTTTTCATATTTTAATAATGAGAGAATGTATGGATCAGACTGTCCATTCATTAATTATGCACATGAAATGATCAGATTGCATAACTGGCATGAAATAAAGTAAACAAAAAAAAAGGGTCCCACTCACATGCAATGAACATGCAGTAGTGGAAATCAAGTTGGCTCTTCTAGTTATAATAAAAAAATCATCAATTGTGTTATAATACAAAAAATAAATAGGTATTTAGCAACATAATTTACAACAACTAAATAATAACATTTTTTCTTATTCAATCATTTTGCGAAAGTATTCTCTCATTGAATATTTCTAAGCAAATGTTTCTATTTGACCTACGCAACATGTTATTCATGCACACAAAGCAATTACTAGTTCATCCCATTTTGTGATATGCAAACAATAAAATCCATCGATCACCTTTTCTCTTGGGACACACCTCTATGTGATTCATTCCCTAACAATTTGAACACAATCTAAAGGAAGTAAGAGAAAAATATATTTCATTTTGAAGCAAAATTTTTTGTACTAAACTTGGATTAAATTCATGGGTTCAATTATGTTACCTATTAAACCGTAAAATTTATTTTGTAACAAGTTGGAATTGCTTCGAGGCATATTATAATTTTTAATTATTTTATATATAAAAAAATAAAAAAAGTTCTAACTTACAAGCATGGTTGTGAATGTAATGGCATATACTTGGGATAAAAAGGTTAATTACTAATCTTTCTAAATAAATAAGCAATAAGGAGAGTAAAAAAAGAAATACTTTTCCCATAAAGCTTCAAATCCAATGGGCTGATTGTGGAAGGCCCATTTAGTAGCTGTTTAAAGACCTTTGGGCCGGAAATGGACCGGTCCATCTCAGCCTATAAAAGGGGCCAACGACCTCATCTCCCCCGTGCCATTTCTTGGTTTGGGTGAGGAGAGCTCCTTTCTCGCTCGTCACCAACCCTTCCTACGATCTCTCGCGGAGGTCAAATCTCGTCTGGATTGCGCTCTTCGACGAGGTCAGCTCGCAGTCTCTCGATCTTCTTGTTCTGTTCTTTCGTGTGTTATTGTGATTGTCTTTGCACGTTTGTGGCTCGCGCGGGCCAGATCTTGGAATCTTCTCCTTACCCGAGTGAATCGGGAGCACTGTGATGGTTGGATACCATCGCTGTGCCAGATCGTTTCAGATCTTGGGCTTTTGTGTTCGGATCGGTTGATCGGACGCGATCTAGTATGTTTTGGCCGTCAAACGGCCGTGTTCTTCAAATCCTTGCTAATGTTTTAGTTGGATCGTTGGATCTATCTTTTCCAGTAGTTTTGGTTTAACGTTCTGGAACTAAAGGCTGCTTTGATCTGGGAATAGCAGCTCACTTATATCCAGTAAGAACTTCTTTGTGTCATCGATATTTCTGTTGTTAGTCGTGTGTAAATTAATTGATGGACTCATTTTCACACACTGGCCTTTTTTGCTCCTTTTTGAGCATTGATACTTCTAAGGATTCTAACCTCTCGTATCCTATTTTTATCTTATCTTGTTAGTGCTTATGTTGGATCTGGCCTTGTAGCTCAACTTGGAATGCATCAACTGAACGACCTTGGGAATGGAATTTCCACCATCTGGAGTGTTATTTTGAATCGTATTATCAAAATTAATTCTTTCTTGTGGAATAACAGTACTAGTTCAAGATATCGCTGAACTATGCCTTTGGATTATTTTAGCATGTTTAGGGAACCTAAGTCGATGGGTAAACATTAAAAGTTTTGGGGATTTCTGCACATTCCCCGACTAAGGATGGCCCAATGCACGAGTCTCCAGCCACTATAAGGCCTCGGAGGGTCAATGTATATGCACTATTTTGCAAGTTTCCGTGATGCAATACCCTTACTGTGACATGTATGTACATGCTTTGCATACGGGTTAGATACTTGCGTGAAATATTTGGAACTTTTCAGATTTGAAATGAAGTTCCTTCTTATTTTGTAGGACACTTTTGCAATTTAAAAGATCCCATGACAGCTTTTTATTGCTTTCCCATTTGAAGTAAGTTTTTTCATCTCATGTATCTGGCGGCTTTATGCCACGATGAACCTTAATGAACTCGGATGGCCGTCATCTAATATGATGTCCTGCTTATATAACTTTTTAGTATGATTATTTTCTTTTGTATGATGTGCTTGAACACAAATTCTAGATGACTTCAAGGTTGTATCTTATTAAACTAGCCTCGATAAAGGACAAAAAAAGTCTTCTTGTCCTAATCAGAAAGCTCCTTTCTCACTTGCATTTCACAGATTTATAAGAAATGGCCGACGCAGAGGATATTCAACCACTTGTTTGTGACAATGGAACTGGAATGGTCAAGGTTAGTTTGTACTTGTTGCAGATGAGCAACGGTTCTTTCTTTTTCAGCATTTGGTTTACAAATTGAAATGAGTCTTGTGTTTATTTTGTCAAAAGGCTGGATTTGCTGGTGATGATGCACCTAGGGCAGTCTTCCCTAGCATTGTAGGCCGACCTCGTCACACAGGTGTTATGGTTGGGATGGGCCAGAAAGATGCTTATGTTGGTGACGAAGCACAGTCCAAGAGGGGTATCCTCACCCTGAAGTATCCTATTGAGCATGGAATTGTCAGCAACTGGGATGACATGGAAAAGATCTGGCACCATACCTTCTACAATGAACTCCGTGTTGCTCCTGAGGAGCATCCTATACTGCTCACCGAAGCCCCTCTTAACCCAAAGGCAAACAGGGAAAAGATGACCCAGATAATGTTTGAAACTTTCAATGTACCAGCTATGTATGTTGCTATTCAGGCAGTCCTTTCGCTCTATGCCAGTGGCCGTACTACTGGTTAGTATCTTGTGATCGCTTGCCTGATGTGATGGAGTTGGTCATTCTTTTTTATTTTCAACTGAGATGCCCAAGCTAAATGCCATTTTGACAGGTATTGTGCTTGATTCTGGTGACGGTGTCAGCCATACCGTTCCTATCTATGAAGGATATGCTCTACCTCATGCCATTCTTCGTTTGGATCTTGCTGGTCGTGATCTCACGGATTGCCTGATGAAGATCCTGACAGAGAGGGGTTATTCATTCACTACCACTGCAGAACGGGAAATCGTAAGGGACATCAAGGAGAAGCTTGCCTTTGTTGCTGTTGACTATGAACAGGAGCTGGAGACTGCCAAGACTAGCTCTGCTGTGGAGAAAAGCTATGAACTTCCCGATGGGCAGGTTATCACGATTGGGGCTGAGAGATTCAGGTGCCCGGAGGTGCTCTTCCAGCCATCGTTGATCGGCATGGAAGCCGCTGGAATTCATGAGACAACATACAACTCTATTATGAAGTGTGATGTGGATATCAGGAAAGATCTGTATGGCAACATTGTGCTTAGCGGTGGATCAACAATGTTCCCTGGTATTGCCGATCGCATGAGCAAGGAGATCACAGCGCTTGCACCAAGCAGCATGAAGATAAAGGTGGTTGCCCCACCCGAAAGGAAATACAGTGTCTGGATAGGAGGCTCCATCCTTGCCTCCCTCAGTACCTTCCAGCAGGTAAAGCTTTATACATCTTAGTTTAAGCCATGCAACGGATCTGATCTATCTATACTCTATTTGACCACCTCGTTTGCTTAAATCTGCAGATGTGGATTACCAAGGGGGAATACGAAGAATCTGGTCCGGCAATTGTCCACCGGAAGTGCTTCTGAGCTTGTTCTTTGTAGTCCTGGGTTTGTTTGGAAATCATGCCTTGTTCAAATAGTGCTTGAGACGTCTTTGTACGGTTGAGGATGGATTGATGAATAGCTTCCTTCACAGATGTTTCAACGAGGAGGGTGGCTGTAAACAAGTACATGTATCTTTGTACCCATGTGTCTCTCTCTGTCTGGTTTTGTGTAGCGTTGTATTGTAGTTCTAGTGTCTATCCTGGTTCGGGACTTGTTCCGCGGCTTGCCTGCTGCTTGATTTCTTGTATGAAGTATATTACCTGGTTTATCTGCTATTTGCATGTTTCATCAGATTCTCGCGTCAGGTGTCTTCACTTGTTTATCAGCTATTATTTCCTTGGTTTAATCTCAAGTTTGTTGATGGTTCGTTTTTGGTATAGATTTGGGGGCTCTAGATGTTGAAAACCCGAGTCAGTTCACGGTACTAACACTTGGGACAATATTTAATTGGACAAGCACTTGCCATGGGTGCTAATAATGGTGGTCGCCGAGCCCAGTAACCTCTCTCATCGAGCAAACACACAAACTCAAAGCAGTCCCAGCAACCATGAACCATATCTGGCTGCATCATTCCATAGTAGGAAATAAAGCATTGGAGATCGCACCATATCATTGTCGTAATTGTTACAATTATGACAATGATATGCCATTGATATGTGTCATAATTATTACAATTATGAACAAGATGGCCTGTCCATGCACCGATGCCATTGCAATAGTTACGTACGAATACTTGGGCATTAAAAGGCCTAACCATGGCAAGAAGTTGCACCGCAACCACATTGAAATAGAAGGATCAGTTTTCTGTGCAGCGTTTCCATTTGGCTAGCACTGGATTTTGATCGGGGATCAGAAGGAGCTCTCAGAAGCATACAGATAATATAGGTGAACCTATAAAATGTGTCTTAGTTATAGGTTGGAAGAGAAATGAACTAGTCATTTTATGATCTTCAAAACCAAAAATAATCAACATATAAGCAACACATCTAAATGAGCATGTGAAGCCATCCAGGATATTTTGATGTAACGGGTAGCATTTAGACTTTCATTTGAACAAAAACGTGAAACAAAGATACAGTTCAACTAACACCTGTTAAAAAGTAGGGGTTAGATGAAAATTAAACCTGGTAGATTATTTTAAACAATGAAAAGATGATGACTAGAACAAAATCTATAAACAAAATTGAAACAAATCACTTTGAGATAATCAAAACATAATAATTTTTCCAGTCAAGTAAATTATCATGCAGGACACATATTCATACGTTTATATGGTGTGAGAATGAACAATACAAGAACAAGAAGTGAAAACACCATGTGCTTAATATTGACACTAAAATAATTTCTCAGATGAGCAAATCAAGAAAAAAAACTTTACTTGATATATGCCATTGGCGCAGCATCCCCCATTCGTATGAATGTTCAAAGCAATCTTGTATATCCGCCTACTCAGTCCCTTATATTGATAACAAAGTTTTCACCGAATCTAGCAACGGAACAGGCAAAACAAGGTGAATAGATCAAACATTTACTTGTAGCGATAAGCAAGCTCTGTGAACAATTTATGAAGAACATCATCACCACGAACAAAAGCAGCAGCACACATGCAGCATGAAGTGTATCCTGTAAAGAGTCAAACTCTTGATATAATAAACAATGACCATATCCACCTATGTGGTTCTAGTTATGTTGATCATGAGATCTACAAAACTAGGGAACAGTTAATAAATAAATTATTAAAGAAATGAAGCAAATACAGAAAAAACAATTGGTTTGACAATAAGAGATGCCAGACATGCGGCCCATTATTTAGTTCTGCTGAAGATGAAGTAGATTTCTCAAACTTTGAACAAAAAAAGGAGCATGTGTATAAGATGCATTCTTTGCTAAGTTTCTCTATCTTATACTCACCCACATGATAGGGATATTTCAGCTATTTGTGTTCCTACGTTGCTTTTAATCTGGCTTTATACATAGTATTACAGAAGTAGTTTTACACAGAATGTAGTTATTGTCTTCCCCTTTACCAAAATGGCTAAATGAGACCTAAAAATTCTGCTCCAAATCATTAAAAACATAATCTTAAAAAAAAAAAGAAATAGTCTTCTATAAGGTAAAACATCATGAGAGAAAAAAAAAAAGGGGGAAAGACTAAAGGAACATAAAATAAACATAAGCATTGAATCGGTCAGAATTTGACTTAAGCAAAGAAGACTTTGTATCCTTGATGAACATATATATATAAGAACAGTTGATCGCTTATATATGGGCATATATAAGCATGATTTTCTTGGGAGTAAGACGAGCAAGTCTTTGTCCACATTGATTCTAATTTTTTGCCAAATAATCGCTTGGTGTAGATAAATAAACTATCGAGAAGGAACAGTTAAACGAGAAGGAACAGTTAAATCCCGAGATGAACAAACCACTCAAATTGAGGACAAAAAAAATGCTCTAGAGCATTTAGATTTTAGCAAGAAAATATCATTAAAAAAATTTCATCAAAAACAACAAAGTGCTTGTGCTTGTATCACCAAATCCTCCTTAAATTCATCCATCAACTTCCTAAAGTTCTGTGAGAATCATTTACCCTAACATTGTGCTTCCAATCGTACATTAATACGATGAAGCATTTTAAAACTGCTACAACGAATCCGAAACCAAGGACCCTAAGAATCAGAATCAACAAGCAGAGAATTTAAACATGCCTTCCCCAGCTGCACCATGTTATCAGCAATTCGCCGGACTTGCTTCGCCTGACAACATGCGGTAAACGATAAGTGAACGAACAACGACATGGCAGCAAAGACGGTCAAGTGCTCGAAGAAATTACCTTCGCGACCGTGGTCTCGATGCGCTCGTGCTTGACCAGCTGCGACACCATCGTCCTGCGCGCGCGGAACGGAGTGTCAGCTCGAGGACCCCAGGAAAAGAGAATAGAAGAGAAGAGGTGTAGTGCGAAGACGACCTGAGCATGGAGCCGCGGGGCCGGCAGGGCGGCCGAGGTTCCTGAAGCTGGTGATCGTGACGGAGAGAGTAGCGGGCTGCGGTGAGGGTTTCGTTTACGGATTTGGGTCGGCAGAGCGCGGGGAAAAGAACATGGTTGAATTGGGTTTTATATAGGTACAAACATGGGTTGGGTTGAGTCCGGTTGCTGAAATGTAACCCGGTTGAAATGGGGCCACCGATGAGATGAGGGATAAATTGGGGTTGGATTGGGTTCGAGCTCGAACCTAAAGGAAACAAACCTTCGAAAAAGTAGATCAGGTTGGGTCAACTTTAAAACACTGATGACCAAATTTGACATTAATTGATTTTAATCCAATCATAGCTTGGCCCCAAAAAAAATCAATGCTTTGAGCTATTTGGATTCAATCGATAATGTCTTAGTGGCAAAATCTAGTTTGAATCTACTTGGTCTCTTTTTATTTTACATGGTTTATAGATAATGAAGAACAAAATTGATATAGCATTCAAGAGGGACTAACTATGTATTGCCCCATGTAGTTAGCTGCATTTAGTGTTTTGGTCCATACACTTTAAAAATATACATTAACATCTCTATAATTATGAAACTAAAATAATTAAGTTTATTCAGTCTAATGATATTAGTTTTATTGATGAAAATATAAAAATAAAGAGAAAAATTAATTTTAACGTTTAGTGATAGACGATGTCAATGGCGTCGGTCGTGGCAAGACCTTTCGCCCATCCTAACATCTACCCCTCTATCCTCTACCAATAGCTTCACATTCACGAACTACTCCACTTCCATCAACCTCCCGACGTCACCCCCTTCAGCATCAAGTTCCACCCATAGTGAGTCACGAACGAAGCATTATAGCGTGGCCCGGGATCACCACCTGCGACGTCCACCCTCGCATTACCATCCCTCTCACCCCCTCAAACCGCTCCCGCCCTATCAAGTGCCCATAGCGAAAAGACCTTGCTTTTTTATAATATCGTTGTGATCCCACCTATCTAAGCCTCCGTTGACATGTACTAGCTCCCGAAGCAGATGTACACCACCGACCGTGACAAGCACATGTCTAACCATGCCATGACCTCTTGCCTGCCACACACCCCAAGTTTTCCGTTAGGCGAATTGATCCCACAACCCAAGCACGACCGTGGCCATAGGACTGCCTTAAGTGGGGGAGGTAGTCACCCTCTAGGTTGTCAAATGTGTTGTTGACATCACTCCAACTAGCGACATTAGTTAGGAAAGAGTCCATGATGAACTCCAGAGCGAGGGAGGTAGTCACCCTCTAGGTTGTCGAAGGTGTTATTGACATCACCCCAGCTAGCTAGCGACGTTGGTCAGGAAAAAGTCCATGATGAACTCCCAGTTTGAGTCACTGGCCTTGTAGCGACAATAGACGGAAAGAAGGTGGGAATAAGAGAAGGAAGGGGCGAGGATCATCGAAAAGGAGGAAGCGACAACGCCGAAAGAAGGGATAAGGGGCATACGTCACTAGATGTGGTCGAGGACGAAAATGCCGAAGGCGCTAGAGGAGTAGAAGATGACGTAGGGAATGTCGAGATCAACAACGAGGTGATGGGTCCAATCGATGAAGAAGTCGAAGATGATACAGAAATTGTTGAGGGAGCATGAATCAAAGAGCGACGACAGGTCAACATTTGCATTGATATTGACGCAGATGCAACGAGAGAGGAGTCCTCCACCACTAACGCCAACAATGCCACCATCAACTATCGATGCCATCCACCATCAAATGTTAAAATTATCCTTTTACTTTTTATTTTTATATTTTCATCAACAAAACTAACATCGTTAGAATAAATGAACTTAATTATTTCACTCTCGTATCTCCACAAATGTCAATATAATTTTTTAAAATATAAGAACCGAAACGCTAAAGATAACTAACAAACTAACTACCTTAGTTAGCCCAATCCATAAGTTCACTTTGAATTTGAATGCGTTCTAAGCAAGATATCACCTTGCCCTTGTCCGTGATAGGTGGCAGATGTTAATGAAAACAATGGTGAGTCTGCAAGTTGTTTTCCCACGTTATAACAAGAATCAACTCCTCCATGGAAGCTCAAGACATGAAACCTTCTTATCTTCCCATATGATTCCAACTTGAAAGAATCAGAGTTTCTGCTGATGAAACAATTACAAAGCTTTGTATGAAAGAATCAGAGTTTCTGCTGATGAAACAATTCCAACTCGAAAGAATCAGAGTTTATGCAGTTGAAATTATGTATTACCAAGAACTAAACCACATTTAAATTTTTTTCGTGATTAAGTATTAAGATAATAAACTATTGGAAGCAGAATCAATCAGGTCTACTTTGAAATGGAGTATCTGACTTGTTCAATATGGACTCCAGATCCAGGAGCTGACAGAGAAGACGGATACCATAATCCAAAATTACCAAGTTCTCACAAGGATTACATTTATGATCTGCAGCCTCATAAAAAAAAAAGCCCATCTAGTAAAAGAAGCCGAGCACTTTACCACCAACATTCTTTCTTCTAGCTTCTTCGTGATCCATGATTCCAGCAGATGTGGTCAACACAATGTAACCGAACTGCATACATTGGTACCGAAAAAATTGACATTAGTTTTATCTTATGCTTCACACCATTGACAAAATGGAGCTGAAATGGAATATGGCTACCATACAAATCACATCAAATAAACAATTAAACAAGTATCTACATATCTATTCTTGCAAAGTTTATAAAGAAAATGTCTGCCCTTACAAATTTTATTATTAGCATGTCTACCCAAGTATTAAGAATCACACAGAATACTGAAGTTTTTTTTTTTGCAGAATACTCAAGTCAAGCACCACAGTTTGTAACTGGTTTTAGTTTGAGAATTGTATTAGAACAAAACATACTTGAAAATATTGTTAACAATCTTACAATCATAATAGCTTTTATAGTATTAACATCAATTAGAGATTCAACTGACAGTAAAATCACGGTCAACTAAAAGGACTTAACTAGGATCACATTGCGCAAGTTTTTAGATTTTACAGGGAAATAAATGTTAAACCTAAATTTAGAGGAATTGAAGTCCATAGATCGCTGAGTTTTGAATTATATACTTGTAGTTTTGCCAATATAAAAAATGTAGAACTATAAACAGATATGGAAGGATTTTAGCAATTTACCTGACGTGATGGGAGTAGCCTGGCAGTCCAAGGCTCAATCTCTTTGACGCCCACATCAAAGCGAGGGCTAATCACACCACATTTGTTCAGTCTCCCATTCAACTCAACAACTATTTTACCAGCCCGGTGATCATCCACGTATTCAAACTCACCAATATATCCTGGAGAAACATACATGTCGAGGAATCATCAAAACAATGTAATTTTTATAGTATAAACACAGACATAATCAAAGCACTAACCATGCTTCTGCATTACAAGGAGAAACTTAATAATCACTTTAGATGATGGTCTAATCATGACCTGCCGCTTTCCACGCTTCTCTGCATTGTACATGCTCTTGAGAGCATCATTCAAAACGCTGATTCTCACCATCCTGGTCAAGCCTGCATAAAAATCAAATGGTTACATATATTAAATGAAAGACAAGGAACTTGGAACCAAAATCTAGTGACCCACAGGAAAAGATGAGACCTTCCCATGACCTACCATCTAGGCTACAAAGCTAATTAGATAAACATTAGAAACCTCCCAGCTTGCTCAACAAGCTAGAATAATATTCTAAGCACCAAGGGATTCCTCTATGTACAAAAATAACTTTAAAATACTAAGCTGTTCCAAATAGGTACCATGGAAGGTTTGGACAAGCAAACCCAAAAAAGTCACCCACTTGTAACCCCTAAAAGCATGCCAGAATACAGTTTCGTTCTAACTCGATCTAACCACCAATATATTTCGAGACAAACATTATCACGGAAGCCTTAATCCAAACCGGCTGACCTAACAATTTATGAGAACGAAGTTTCCAAAGTAGGAATGGTTTTAGATCAAAAACGCCGGCGGCCTGCAACTTTCGTTGGTAACTTACAGCAAACATCGAATCAAATGGATCAGAAGATTGCCCAAGACAACGATACTAATAGATAATGCTTTCCTAATTGGATATAGCACCCACCCTACAATTAGACCAACACATATGGTGTAAACAAGCAACAAGATTGACCATAAATACCAAGAAACATGTTAAGATCAAAAACAGATGCAGAGAGCAGACTAGAGTCCAAAAAGCTATATGTAAAACAAATCCTACAAAAGGACCCAGAAGAATGAAACGCAAAAACAAAATCGATCGATTGGAAATCAAAACACAGCAACGATCCGTCTCATAGCAGATCGATGTGATTCAAAGAACAAACTCGTATAAACGAAGTGCAGGAGAAGAAAACAAGCGGGAAAAGACTAAGATCGCACCTCGGGAAGAAGGATCTCGCCAACGCGGAGAACCGCCCCAAACCCTAAACTCGACAACGTAAGCGAAAGCGGAGGAGAACGGAGGCGTGGGTTTATATACGCCTCCGTTCGAGCGATTCCTATCGTTCCGGCCCCTTGGATCGTGATCGAACGGTTATAATCGAGTGTAGCAACGAAGCCCTAATTTTGACATTCACCGGGCCAGCCCATCATCCTGCACTTGGATCCGAACCCATTGACTGATCGGCCAGCAGAAGAAGAGATCCGTTTGACTTCACAGTCCATCAAAGTCAAAATATTTCTTAGATCTTTAGATTAATTATCAAAATATTTTACTAAATAAATTAAGTGATATGTTTAAAAATATATCGAATAAAAATTTAAACCTTCAACCTTTGATAAATACGTCTAACACGTCATCACCAACTAAATCTTATCTGAGACCAAATATTGGTTTGGATTTCAAATAAATGTCACATCCCTGCAATGCAATGAGATTATTCTTCTTTTTGAAAACTCAGAATTGAAGGTCTCTGTTCTATGAGGTAAGTTCACATAAATACAACCTAAGATGCAAAAACATAGGGAAGATAATATTTCAAGCAAACATTTGATGACTGATAATACAAGACATTTAATTTGGTAGAGCTCCTTGTAAATCTAAAACCATCCTCCAACTTCTATGTAGGAACTATAGAAGTTCTTGAAGAAACCAGTAGCATTCCAGAAAAAGCAAGCTAGCCAATGTGCCAAGTTAAGTAGCAAACAGTGACATCCCATCAAGATCAGTTAAACAAATGAAGCAGATTGTAAGTGATCCAACAAAAAAAAGAAAACACTTGTTGTAGAAACAATATAATCATCATTTACATATTGGAATATCAAACAGATAGTCCCAAACATATGATTGACAAGCAGCTTGTAATAATCAAGTGAGAAACAGATGTTATGATACAAGTGCCAAACAACCAATGAATCTTTCGGACTGGATTGGTAAAGCAAGTGATTCAGACTGTAAGTGATCCAACATTAAATTACTGACCATAATAAGCTAAAGTCTATTAACCAAAGACATTTAGACAATTGTTTCAAGTGCTAATGAAACAATAACAAGCTCCAAAATACTTAGTATTATCACTAAAGAAAATGGAAGGAGTAGAAACAAAAGCCCATTTGGCAAACATGAATTGATTGCATGAACTCTTCCACCACTCATTGGTCAAGTGAATCTAGCTACTACATGACCCTGCCTGGATCACAAGAGTCTAGACTGATGTGGCAACATAACATGGAACACAGATAAAGCTACATATTTGGACTTTGTGCTATGATTTCAAGCACCAACTTTAGGTAATCCAATAGTCAAAATGAACAATAGACTGCAAACATCAGACCACACAATATATATACTATGACATAGAAAGAATCAACAAAGTTTGTTTGCTTCTGTACTACTTACTAATAACCAGAGGGTGCACCTCAGGCACTCCAATGAGGAGAACTCACGAAGAAGCAAGACCATGAGAAAGCAGAAAAGCATGGAACACTAACTGGTATAAAGTAAGAACTCAAATGCAGAGGACACTTTCACACAGCAATGGCCTCAATTCCTGAAACCAAATTCCCATCTTTCCCCTTCCCAATTGCAACAGATCTTATGATTTGCAACGAGAACACTTCAAATTCCCCATTAGAGAGTCGTAGGTTCCACAATTCAAACGCTTTGTTCGTCTAAAATCCCCAGCAAGGAAAAGCAACCACGACAGATACAAACAAAGCTCTCCCCCTTTTCCAGATTCGACCCATCATTCCACTACCCCAACAAAAGAAAGCAAGGAAGAAAAAGAAGCTAATATAACCACAGAATCACACACAAAGAGAGAGCAAAGAGGAGACTTGAAGGATCCAACGCCCCACTAAGCCTTCTTGGGCGACTTGCTGGCGGGCTTGGCGGGCGATTTGGGTTCCTTGTTCGCGGTCTTCTTCGGCAAGAGCACGGGGTTGATGTTAGGAAGCACCCCGCCATGGGCGATCGTCACGCCGGCGAGAAGCTTCCCCAGCTCCTCGTCGTTCCTGATGGCTAGCAGCACATGCCGCGGAATGATCCGGTTCTTCTTGTTGTCCCTTGCCGCGTTTCCGGCCAACTCCAACACCTACCTCCACAACCGCACATCGTCAATCAAAGCAGACCAGAAAAATCCTAGAAGCAGAAAGAAAGGGGGAGAGATCGATTTGCCTCGGCGGCGAGGTACTCGAGGACGGCAGCGAGGTAGACAGGGGCGCCAGTGCCGACACGCTGGGCGTAACGGCCTTGCTTGAGGTAGCGGCCGATACGGCCCACAGGGAACTGGAGGCCGGCCTTCACCGACCGGGAGACCGGCTTCTTCTTGGGGCCTCCGCCCCTCCGACCGCCGGCGCCTTTCCTGCCCTTCCCGGTCGCCTCCATCTACTCGGCGTTGCGCTTCGTGCCGGTTTGGACAAACCCGATATAGTGGGAGCGGTTTGCCTGCTGTTATATATGCACTGCCCACATGTGTTTTGGTGACCTGTGTGCAGACGGTACTGACCGTTGGATGCGTTTCGAATGGACCGCTGGATATCGACAGCCTGGCGATCCGTGAATTCGCGATCGAGCTAATAGGAGACGATTTTGACAGATGCAATCATCAGATCGGTCCGTTGTAGCAACGGACGATGGGGAGCTGCCGATGTAGGACGAGAGTAAGCGTCTGGGTCGGGCCCACCTAAGACGGAATCGAACATTTCTTTTCGTACCCTAAACAAAGTTACCCGCCCCGTAAGATGGATATATACTGACCAATAGCATATTTCCATGTCAGCAAAATAAAACAGGACAATAATAAATTAAATTATAGCTTCTCGCTTTTCATTAAATAGGTGTTGAGTTCCATTTGCGTTGGTGGGTCCCAAATAAATGGGTGCACGTTAGTCACGGTCTTTTCCCTCTTTCCTTGATTAATATTTACTTATGATACAGTTACATGCAAGCACAGCACATGCAAGGAACTCAACTTGCATTTAAGTTGCATAAGCATACATCATGTTCATATTTAAATCTTTCTAATGTAAATATAGATAGGAATTTAATCCTATCAACATCTAAATAACGCACCAGCTACATCAAACCTTTAATATTGAAGAAAATAATAATTTGATTGATTGTTCCTCCATCCCCTATATGATTGTAGCATGAGCTTGAGAGACACAAATAGCATCTGAATTAAATGAAGGTCATCTTTGAGGAAATTCTTGTCTGACTTCAAAATTATGTCTATGAACCAGTGTCCTGATGATACATATGCATTTATGCCTGTACATGTCAAGCTGTGACTGTTGCATTCCAAATCGGCAGAGTGATCCTTTTCATTTACAGGAAATTTTGTTGCTAGTTTAACCTGCATCAAGATTCAATGGAGAAAAGTTGAGCAGATGTACTATGATTTTTTCTCTTCAGGTTCATTTATCAGTCATGAATGAGCACAATGGACAGACAAAAGTTGCAGAAGCAAGAACAATGATAATGAGATTTAGCAATGAGTTCAGTGGATCTGCTTACAAAAAATGTGAGCCAAAACTAGTGCTTTCACTTTTGTTAGAAGAAGTACCACCAGATTAACTCCCATTGGATAGATCAATCATGTACCAGATTCACTGGCCGAGAATTTCCACTAGTTCATGATCAACATCTATCCAAATATTTTTTCTTGATACTAAAATTCCTTAATCACCTAACGGTGCACAAAATATGCTAACCACTAGAACATGCATAGGGATGTTTTTGTCTGTGTGGTTTAGGTACATGCAACAACTGACGTGCCATGTCAAGCTGCTTTAGGTACCAAGTGCACCATTTGCTTCCTACTTAAGAATCACGATTTAAGGGCGAAAAAAAATCATGATTGTGCATTGCCTGGATGTCAATACTACTAGATACCTCTTTTCGCAATTAATCTGAAAACCAACTGCAGCCACAGTATATCCATAGTCCCTGAAAAATTTAGAGAGAGAGAAAAATTTTAAGTGCTGTTGAAAAATTACTCAGTAATGTAAGAACTTCCACGGTATCATTTTTACCTTGGAACAAGTTTGGTCTTATAATGGACTGAGAGAGCAGGACTAGAGAAAATGAGAGAGCTATTTGTACAACATAAAGGAATCAAGAAGCAATACCTTGCATTGTATTTAAGAAAGATCCTAAAACAAATCATTTTCATATGCAGGGTACTGGTAGAGTACTAGAAAAACTCCCCACCTAGCAGAACAAGCTGAATCGACTTGAATGTGCATTTTCTGCCAATAGGAGTTCCATATATCAAGATCAGCAGACACTCATTGTCCATAATCAAGTGATGAAGAACATGTGCAGCAAGCATAACATGCCTTGACAATCACTTCATGATATCATCCTGCAAATGAATGCTGGTACACTTCTTTTGGGCATTCCGCACGAGCAATGATCACCAAGAAAAGTTATTCAATGATCATCAGCTGGTAATTTGTACCAGCCCGGATGTGGTTTCAACATCACAGTCAATTAAGATCAGAATCAAGAAAAGCTATTCAATGATCATCAGCTGGTAATTTGTACCAGCCCAGATGTGGTTTCAACATCACAGTCAATTAAGATCAGAATCAATAATGTAAATATTGCATTTGCAACTAGTTCTAATATGGGACCTTGTTCCATTACCTCAAAATTCTTGCATTATAGGCAACCACAAATTTCGTTTCTATGTTCCGCTAATGGCCTCTCATCTCTGTTACCGACTTCAAGGTATAGATATCCTCGATTCTCATTGTCATGGAATTCACGAACTCTTCCCATTCAGCATATGAAACTATAGTCCCACTTTCAATCATTTTGTTCATGTAATGATGTGTCTCCTCAAGTTTTCCAGTAGTGTATAAACTTCGAACAACAGATGTGTGCAAGCCAACATCTACTTGCATCTTCTCCCTTTCCATCTGCTCAACGAAAGAGACAGCCATCGCAGTATCCCCCCTCCCCAGATAGCCATGGATCATCAAAGAATATGTCGATGCATTGGGCCTAACACAACCACCACAATTCCCGGCCCTCAACTTCTCAAAAAGGCCGATTGCCTCCTCCATCCTCCCTGCTTCCCAATAGCTTTTTAGAATCCAATTACAAACTTGAGCAGTTGGAGAAACTCCCTCATTTACCATCTCCAAGAGAAGCCTATATCCATCATCAACCTGGCCTAGTTTGCAGAGACCTGCTATCACAGCAACTGTGATATCACCAACAGATACACTTTGTTTCTTCTTTTCGAGATCCAAAAGCTCGACCGCATCTTCTGCTCTACCAGCCCGGCACAAGGCCTCTATGAATGACACATAAACGCAGGTCTCCACCGGAATGTTCTTCTCTGTTGCCTCTTTCAAGAGCATTTCAGCCTCTTCAACTCTCCCTGTTTTACAAAGCGATTGGAAGTACGCCCCAAATGCCACCGTTTCAGAAATCAACTTGGTGGAGCTCAGTTGGAAGATGACTCGCCTTCCTGGCTTTAGCACTGGAATCAAGCTATCTTTGATGTTTTGGCCTTTCTTCAACAATTTATCGAACAACTTGCGCGCTTCTCGCAACTTACCCGACTTACACAACCCATACAAGAAATTCCCGTAGATCAGTATGTCAAGCTTACAGTTCCACCTATCCACCATGCTCCTGAGAACCAAATCAGCTTCGAAGACGTTCCCAACTCGACAGAAGCTGCGGAAGATAGCAAAGTAAGTCAATTCATCTGCTTCAAATCCCTTCTCCTCCATTTCCCTCAGAACAGCTCTAGCCAAACTCGGATTCGGGCAGCTACTCTGACAGAAAGCTCCAATCAAGGCCATGTACCTCTGCCTACTCAAACTCCACCGGCTCCTCGAAACCCTGCGATAGACTTGCTCGATCTCAGACGCGTCAACGCGGCGCCGGCAGAGACCGATGACGAAATCCGAAGCGCCGGAGATCCCATCGGGGCCTCCCCCTCTGATGTCATGCCAAACCGATTCGACGTCGCGGATGGGGGATTCCGGGAGCAGGCATTGGAGCACGAGGCTGTAGAGGAAGAGGTCGGGGACGATGCCGCGCTGCTTGAGGCCAGAGAGGACGGACTTCGCTCTGGTGAGCTTCTTGCGTCGGGAGAGGGCGCGGATGAGGAGGACGGAGGCGGTGGAGTCGAGGAGATGGGCTTCGGCGAGGGCGGAATCGAGGGCGGCAAGGGATTTGGGGTCGCTGGGGGTTTTAGAGAGGTATTGAAGGAAAAAGGAGAGCCTTTGGAAGCAGGGGGTTTTGGGGAGCCGTGGGGATAAAATGGAGGAGGCGTGGAATGGACGAAGTGAAGCGGCGAAGGGGGAGTCACGAAGGGTGGAGCAGAAAGAAGGCAATCGAACTAGTAGTGCTCTCATCAGAGCTCGGAAGGTTATCGACGCTGCAGCTGTGGTGTTCGGTAATATGCCAGCAGCAGTCATATTTTGGACAGGAGGATGCGGACGAGGCGCGCCAGTTCGACCACCGCGACCGTTCTATATATACTGCACTGCAGCCCCAAGCGCTCGCTTCACCAAAGTTATCGTTCCCTTTCTCCTTCTCATCGCCGTCCCGCCTCCGATCTCGGAGTCTCCCACCCTATATTTTCTCCAAATATCCAATTCAATCCCTATTCTTACCGACTTCTTGAGCCGAACTCTCCTCCGGAAACTATGCCTCCCATCCTTCTCCTTCTTGCGTTTCTTGATTCGGAGATTCCCAGTCCTACGCTGCGATTAGGTCGTGTTCTTTCTCGCCTAGGTTTTGATCGATCCAAAATATCCGCGTCGATTTGGTATCATCAACGATGATTCGTTTTTGTTATTGTAATTGTGCGAGACGGACCTGACGCGTCTTCCGCAAGGTCGAACCAGGCAGGCGGAGAAGCGGGGGAGCCAGAGCCGCAAAGGTCCTCGCATTCACCTTGAGGTCTGCTGGAATCGGGTTCTTCAGGGAGAACCCGCGTTCAACTCCGACCAGGCCGTCGGCGCCGTGAGCTTCCTCCGATCGTGCAGCAAGTAGCCCCACCATCGCCTCGCCCTCCCTTCTTCTTCACACTCTTCAACTCACCAGCTTTTCATTTGTGAATTAGCAGATGTTGTTGGATTTGCATCTCGTCGTCTCTAATTAATTGTTTTTGCTTTTAATATTGCTAAAACAGGCACGGCCGATCGCTGCGGAGGGGAAAGGCTGGATCTTCCTCTCGAGAATAAACACCTAAAAACCGATGTCCACCTCTTGAGTTCTGCCTTCTTGTTCATCTTCTCAGCTTAAATTTGTAGGATTTTTACATTTTTCTTTTGTAATTTGCAGGAACATCTTTGTTCATGAGATGTTGAGAGGAGCAAAATCCCTCATGAGATGATCCCTTTCCCCAAAAATGGTTAGATTCAACATCATGTTTTGCAATAGTTTTAAACAGGTGGTTTATAGTTTGAACAATCAACAAAAATTGGTTCATCAATTTTGATTACATAAATCATTAGTTAAAAATTAAAGTTGATAGTAATACATTCATCATATCCATATAGATAAATATAAATCTTTAATCCAAGACTAATGAATGATGTTTAAATATTAGGGATGCCCAATGTAATGTTTGTGCTTTCTCAATTTATTTATTCATGTCTTAGACAATATATAAGGGATTTATAGTATGTTTGACCAACTCAATTTTGAAAATACAAGATTGTACGTATAAGTGTATGCATACATGTCTATTAGTACCAACAAAGCCCAAATACATGCATACATGTACGCCTACGATTGTACGCCAAAGCCCAATGTATGCATACATGTATATTAGTTTATAGCATATTTAGAATAAGAAAATTGTATGCTTTTTATGTGGAACATCCGAACACGCAACAAAACATCGCGTTGGATCTGTTGTAGTCCGCGAAACGATCCCGAACAATTAGGCTTCCACGAGCCATGCAAGCCACAGGTTGGAGAAGGCGAGAGGAGAGCTCGCTCCATTTCTCCTACCCATCCCTCTCCCTCCCTCTTCCCCCCCACCACACTCATTCCCTCTTCCTCCCCCGCACGAAAGCGTACGCATTTCCCGCATCGACCTCCACATCATGGCAGCTGCTGCTGCATCCACGTCCTCGTCGTCCGCCCTGCGACGGCTCCAAGCGCTGCAGTCGGAGCCGGGCAACGGGGCGTGCGTCGACTGCGGGCAGAGGAACCCGCAGTGGGCCTCCATCTCTTACGGCGTCTTCCTGTGCCTCGACTGCTCCGGCAAGCACCGCGGCCTCGGGGTGCACCTCAGCTTCGTCCGCTCCGTCACCATGGACTCCTGGACCGACGCCCAGCTCCGGAGAATGGAGTGCGGCGGCAACGACCGCCTCAACGCCTTCCTCGCCCGACGCAGGGTCCCCAGGGACGCCGACCCCGCCACCAAGTACAACTCCCGCGCTGCCGCCGCCTACCGCGACTGCATCCAGGCCCTCGCCGACGGCCGCCCCTCGCAAGACCCGCCCGTCGTCAAGGAGGCCACCTCCGAGCCCAGCGCGAGGAAGCCGCCGCGGAATCCGTCCGGGTGGGACAGGTGGGACGACGAGGAGGAGGACGGCTGCGACCACCTCGCGGCTAGTTCGAACATGAGGAGGAATCAGTCGGTGGGTGACCTTGGGTGCGGGAGCGGGAGCGGGAGCGGAGCAGCGACGTCGCTGCGATCTCGGTCGACGCAGGATCTGCCCGCCATGGCGCAGAAGCCGGCGAACAAGGAGAGGTTCTTCGCGAGGAAGATGTATGAGAACAGTACTCGGCCGGAGGGGATCCCACCTTCACAAGGCGGCAAGTACGTGGGATTCGGATCGAGCCCCACTCGGCCAGCACGGAGTGCTTCGCAGGATGACTTGCTCTCCGTCGTCTCTCGGGTGAATGTTGCCAGTCATAGAATGGCAGAATGAGTTTAATCTATAGATCGGGTCCTTTTCTCCCAACTTATACATCTATTTTGCATGCTGTTTATTCTGACAGAATAAACAACATTATTCTATACCGATTTATTCTTAATAAAGATATATGTTATTTATTTTTGCATGCTGTGTCTACAGGGATTTGGTCGCCTGTCCATGGCCGCTGCTTCTGCTGCGCAATCTGCAGCTAGTGTTGTCCAAGCAGGTACAAAGGAGCTGACTTCCAAGGTATTGGTTCATTTCCTTTGTCCCTGTTGATGAGCACGATACAGTGTTCCAAATATACGTGTACTGCAGGTGATGGAGGTGAACTATGATCAGAAGGTAAATGAAACAGTGAACACGGTGACAGCAAGAACCAGCGAAATCGGTCACAGGACATGGGGGATCATGAGAGGCGTAATGGCAATGGCATCGCTGAAGATGGAGGGAATGGGGTGGAGTGAGGGTGACGACGGCAGATACTCCGAAGCGTTTGGGCAGGAGAGCAAGGGTGGAAGCGGTCGGCAAACGCATCCTTCGGCGAAAGACTCGCGGGGTGATTGGAATGAGAGCGAGATGAAGGAGGAGGAGGATCACAGGAAGCACACCGACGGCGAAGATAGCTGGGCGTGGTGGGATGAAGCCGACGATGATGAGCAGGAGATCAGCCATCATCAACCCAAGAGTGCCAAGTGATCTATATGGCCTGGAAGAAGCGAAGTGAACGTGTCCTGTTAGTCTCTGTTGAGGTCACATCTTTTGTTGCTTTCTCTCTCTGTATCTGTTGATGTTGAGACGAATAGATTCTTGTATTTAAAAAATGAAATAAATAGTATTAATGATGCAAAAATACAAAAGAATTTACTAAAAATTATAAATAAGAATTTAAATACTATTAATTTAATTAAGGATATAATTGTTAGTAAGCTCAATAACGATGAAAAATCCATAATCGATCCAAAATAATCGGATATTATGACTTAATACTGTTAGGTACTTAGTGCTTATTATATAATGATAAATATAGAGAAAGGGTGAGTATTACTTACCAGAACGCCACCACTTGACGAAAGGCTTCGTTTGGGCGATTCTGAGAGTTGTGAAGACTTCCGGTGGTAATACCTAATTTTGTAATGAAAATTTGGTTCAGAAAAACAAAATTAAAGCGTCATCGTTAACGAAGACTATCCGGTGAGCTTACCTCATGCTACTCGACTCTGCATTCTTATTCTCACTGCAGCCACGTTAAAAAACGTCTGAGGTGATGATAATGGCGTCGCCCGGACTCGAACCGGAGACCTTCAGTGTGTTAGACTGACGTGATAACCAACTACACCACGACACCTTGATGACGAGTCTCAATTAGTCTTACTTCAAGTGTCCTATTACTTGAAAGCTAAGGGAACGAGATCTGTTATCATCTAGCTGAAGAAGAAGTACCAACAAGTGGATAGGTTCGGAGAGGGCTCCTGCTGCAAAACAAAGCACCTCAAGAAATCGGAGAATCCAAAAGCCACAAGTCTTCTGCTTCTCGGCACCTTAGCCAACACCCCAGAACATAAGAACACAAGGTAAGCGAGGAAGAAAATGGATCCAAAACCGAGAAGGCCAAAGACTATTCCGTAGGGAGAACGAATCCATGTCCGCAAGAAATCTCACAACGCCAAGACGGACACACCGACCGAGCATTCAGAACATTACCGGTTCAAGAAACATCAAAAGAATGACCCAAATCCCTAACCCCAGATTGAATCCCAGCAAGCAAATCCGATGAATCCTAAGCCGTATTCACTCGAAGGAGATCAAGAAATGAGATCAGATCCGAGGAAAGGACAGACAAATACCTTGTTGTCGAGGATCGCTTCCTGAAACGGAGAGAGGGAGAGAGAGAGAGAGGGAAGAAGGGGTTTTAAATAGGGAGCGAGGTTGAGGTGTGTAGTAGTTTGGACGATTGATTTGACTTAAGTACCCCTGATACGTCTTTTGGTTGCCGACAAAGTTGAGGGTATTGTAGTCCAGCTAGGTCTCTGTCTGCATATTTTGCATAGAAACCATATAGTATGTTCGGTAGCCTACACATATTTATATTATGCATTTTTATTACAAAACTAATTTGCCTACATGATAAAATATAATTCATAAATACATTTTCAAAAGATAGACACTTAAATTTTGACATATCCCTTTACTATATACCATATAAATAAATCATCATGCATTTGCAAATAAACAATTTGTATCATTCCAGCAAGAACTGGAACATGAACATGTTATAGAGAGAGGCATCCATTTGGAGCAGCTGGAATCACTGGCATCTGGAAAACCTTATATTACACAGTTAAGCCATTCACAGAATAACACCATCAAATTAATAATTATTATATACATATCCATTACATTGCACAAAAAAAAGTAATGCCCAAACACGACTTTGCTCATCATAAAACCTCACCAATCTTAGAAAACAAAATTCTTTACGTACTCAAATTACATACTTTTCAACAACCAATCAAAAGTAGAAATTGATTTATTCCAGGACGAATCAATCATCTTTCAAAGAGAATAAAGCTCATTCTTTTTTGACCATGATAAGCCACTGCCTGAATTAGTCTTCCATTAGAGACAAATCCTATCGTAATATAATCTTAAGATTCCATCCTAGAAGATACTTCGCCTTCGTGATGTCAGGCTTCCTTTGGCGTGGATCATCACGAGCATTTTCAATCATTTTAATCAATACTTGCATAAGGAGGTAGGGTTTTGTCAACTCATTATTTAGTTAATTGGATGCTTTATTGATAATCTAAGTGGTACAGTTACTTAAGCAAAAGATGTGTTGTATAATTATTATTGTTGTTTTCCTCTCTATACCAAAATATTATTCACCAAAAAAGATTCTACGGTTGTTTATCCTACTTAATAGGATAAAAAGGGATACAAGTGTAAAGTTGCTCAAGGAAAGGAAAAGAGAACTTACCTCCTTCACGATCTCAGCACGTTCCATCATTGTAAATTCACCTACAGATAACACAAATCCCACTTAGAGACCATGCCCAAGGCTGTTAATTAGCTACATAATACTATTGAATCATGAAAACCCCAGGAAATTGCCACCTGGGTGACAAGGAAAATCCTAAACCACTGTACGACATGAATTGGTCATTAAAGATCAGTCATAATTGTATTAATATGTGCACTAATGGAAGAGAGGGTTGGTAAACCAGAGAGAGTCTCATATTGCCATGTTATATTGGCTATTACTGACTTACATTATACACATGAATGAGAGATACAGAGAGGGAGAAAGGCATTCATTTTGGAACTTGAAAATCCTAAAAGTTTCTGAAATTTGAAGCCGATATTCAAACCTCTTGACCAGTAATACTGAAAGAAAAGGAAAATTGTAGCAGTAAGCTGCCTAATGAACAAGGAAATTACAGTAATCAATCATGAAATTACAAGGTAATCAAGGAAATTTACCAGGGTTTCCGAGGTTAATAGGGCCAGTGTTATCTCCTTCCATCAGCCGAATAAGTCCCATCAACCTTCATGGTACAACAGAAAGTTTTTACTAGTGTTAACAGCACAAGATAAGGCCTGAAAGATTTATGCTCATAAAAAAGGAAACTTTTACCATGTCAGAAACATAACAGAAACTTCGGGTCGTGTTCCTGGAGCCTGAACTGTTAAGGGCTCACCATTGGGTGCAACCATAACCAGATTAAGTAACCATGGTCAAAGGAATTTCCAGTTCATTTGTTGATGAGATCATAAAATTTACCTAAGTGCTTGAGCTACAAAGTAACTGACAACATGACCATCATCGATGTTCATGCGTGGTCCATAGGTGTTGAAGATTCTAGCAATTTGGATCTCTAGTAAAGAGTAACAATCCCAAAGGTGAAGAAACATATGGTGAGAACTTGCCTAGCTATTTCTTTCCAGTAATTTACTTTCTAAGTCAAAGAGCTGATTAGATATGAATACTCTACCTATGTCATGCTGCCTATGATAATCAAACATCAATGTCTCAGCCACACGCTTCCCCTCATCATAGCAACTCCTGACCCCTAAAAGTTCATAAGGTGAACATTAAGAGGATAAATTAAGGCATGTCACATTGTAACACTAAACCACCAGTTAAGAGAGACATAAATACCAATTGGGTTAACATTTCCCCAGTATTCCTCCTTCTGAGGATGCTCCAGGGGATCACCATACACCTCTGATGTTGACGTCAATAAAATCCTGCAAGACAGGAAACATATTGTATGCACACACCATATGCTCCTAGGATTTGTTATTACACTAGTGTTTTAGACCATACCTTACTCCAACCCACTTTGCAAGCCCCAACATGTTCAGTGTGCCAATCACATTTTGTCTTAATTGTCTGTAGCAAGACCATTTTGAAATTAATGTTCGTCCTGGTTAAACTTCATGATAAAAAATGCATACAGCAGCAACAAGCGAGTTTGAGAAAAAGGCAGCTGACAAATGGTAGTAAACACATGGAACAGTCTTAGACTGATGAAGTAATATACTTATCTTATTCTTTTCAGGAACAAAAACCTATTATAGCTAACAGAAAAGCTAATTTTATAATACAGAGCTACCATCTTGAAATAAAAAAGAAAATCAGTATCTCAGAGTTGCCAAAACAATATAAAAGGTTTCTTGAAAGATCTCCAAGCTAACAAAGAAGACAATAAGGAATTGTTGGAAAAAATAAGAGTTACAAGAAAAATTATGTACCAAAGAAAGATGAGAAAAAAAAATAAAACGAATATAGATTTCTAACATCTAGCACCACACACTAAATTGAATTCTTTAACTAAAATCTACAAAATAAAAGTTCAATCACAATCAGTCTAAGAAATGGTGACTTTCAAATTGCAAAGCTTACGTAAATGAGATTGTTAAATTTATGTAGGTTTGAGAGACTGACAAATCATCCAGCTTATCCATAGAAACCAAGCTATCCTCCAGTGACAGATACCTAATGCATGGTAGAATAGATAAACAGCACATGATACAGAAACAGACATTTTTGTTTCTGATGTCAAATTCAACATATTTCTTAGTATCTATTCCATATAAAAATGCATACCTTGACTGGATTGTATTTATAGAAAATTGGCGAAGCAGGGCAAGCTAAGTGATAGATACAATCAACTTCCACCAATAGTGGCTCTGTGACATCTGACAGGACAGAAATGAGCTAATAAATGAGATCAAGTCTTTTATTAGAACAGCATATTTACACATTTTCCATTAAGCATACAGAATTTTACAGACATTAACGAACCAAACCATGTTGTATCTTAGAATGCTTAAAAATTGTATAGAAGAGAACTCGAGCAAGGGTCATAACACAACGAAAAGGCTCAAAGAAGGGAGACACTCTTTCAGATGACTCAATACTTGTTCAAATAACAGGAAAGTACCATGTCGAATCAGCTCAAATCTTGGGTGGCCAATCCATTCTTGAGATTGTCCTTTGAGCCACTAAAGAAATTGTCGGCAACTATCACCTACCAACATAAGTTAAAAAAATGCACAATACAAAGGTGTTCAGTCAATATCCAACAATTTGTTACATGAAAATGGATAAAATAGATAGTCGTATGTCAGAAGTGGTATCAAGCTTTTGTATTGAAATATCAATTTATGTGATAATCCACACAGATATGCTTGTATGGACACCAAAATCCAAAGCTTGGGGTGGTTGCATGGATCTTCCCACTATTGTATTATATTTAGAAGATATCTGAACAACCTTATCAGTAAGATTTTCAATTTTTGTCTCATTTCTTCTCATATCAGCTGTTTCAAACTTTAATTAAATTTCATAGAGATATAAATAATTAAATTACTCTAAGTACCCTGCCATTGTAACATAAACTCCCATTTGGATAAATCATCTAATTCCATTTATCGTTATAAAATAAAATCCATATGTATAAACTAATAATCTATGCCCTCTGATCATATTTGCATGTTTAGTTCTGTCTCTGAAAATAATAAGAATGGTGATCGTCATATACTTAAAATGACAAGAATAATTCTACTCATGATCTTTGGAGGCTAACATTGCAGGAAAAGCCTTGCTAGAAATATATTAGTGAAACTGAAATCAAAATATTTAATAAAACAGCATTATGGTATTATGGTAAAGATATTTTTAGGTTAAACTAAACTGTTAATCTCTAACTAGAATATAGTGCTCATGACTGATGATACAACCAAGTCAAGACACATCTTTATGAAATTCATGCAATTTAGGGTGGATCTAATTATCAGTGAAAGAATATGTAGATTATTTCTAAAATATGACTTACTTGGGCAAACAAAGATAAGATTCTGCTTAAATATCGAAATTATTCTAGTGCTATCATGTCTGATAAGAATGACCAGCGTAAGAAAACTGAACAAAGCAAACCAGATATATACCTCATTCTTTTCATTTGGTGGACATTTGCCATCAACTTGTCCACCAGATGAGAACCAATGAAACCAGCACCCCCAGTAACCAAGATTCGCATATTGGACTGTCAAGCGGAAATGTCAAAATGAACTCAGAATGTTTTCCATGAGAAAATGTTTACGATAGTCTGAAGAGCCAGAGAACAACAAAACTCGAATTCCAATAACAAATCCCAGAGTGAAGTTTGATTATCCTACTTTATCCAGTTGATTAAACTGTAGAAAACTGAAATCACATTGCAAATCTAGTCCCTTAGCAAATGTTATACAAAACTCATAATGACGAATTATTTCTCTACAACGAAGAATATCATTACTAATAATTGATTAATCAAGTTTCTTACTCGGAGATCTAACTATTCCGGATCTTCAAAGCTTAAAACCAGTACCCAAAAAAGCTTCCATCAAGCCATGGAAAATGAAGCGAATCAGACTCAGAAACAAAAGCAAAGAGAAGTAACCTGCAAAAACTAGGAATTTCGAAGAGGGGAAGGGGTCGGAGGCATTTTTGCTACGACATGATTGTTTCCGTTAGTTGTTTCCGTCCCCATTCCTCAGATCCTGCACGAATGTTTCTAGATCTCATTGACACAGAAGGCCAGAATCTCGAAACATAATATATCAAAATAAAACCCTATCGAAACAACGCTAAAGAACATAAGAACACAGCAACTACTCCCCACCAAGATTTTTTCCCCTCTAGTAAACCAATCAAAATCCTTTCTTTTCTTCTACTCACGGAAGGAACTATCGAGATCCAAAGACCTTATATAGAGCCAAACCACCCGCACCAACCGACGCAATCAAAAACATGAATCTCGATTAACAAAAGGCGAGGCGGTAGCAACCATGATCACAATAACGCTTAAAATACACGCGACGAAAGATTCGGAAGGCCTCGTCGAGACCGATATCCCTTTCATACACCAAACGATTATGATTCTAACTCCATTAACATCCTACATCGTCATCAAAGATCAGAAAGAGCCCAATTGATCCAAGATAACCAGTTCAAGGGGATTACCTTAGAGGAATCTGAGGAATTATGCTACGGGATCGAAGAATTCGGAATGAGACAAGGGATTTAAGAGTAGGAAACGAGAGTGTTTCGTCGGACGCGGGATTTGGGGAGGATTTGCGGCGCCAAGCGGCTTAAAAGACGTTCTGATCTCAGATATCAGCCGTACGATCAGTGGGTCCTTGGATATTGGACGGTTGATTCCTCTATGCCGCTGTTTCACGTGGTGGTCTCTCATGGTTTAAAATACCAAGTGTTGCAGATGTTTTTCATAACACTGTTTCTGTTTTATGTTTTTAAAAGTATTTTTGAAACTCCAAGTTACTGAAACACCTTATGTAGATACAATCATAAAAAAATATATTTATATTTAAATATTTATATAATTGACTCCAAATAATTAATAAGGTAGAGATGTAGGAAAATTTGTTGTTGTATTAATATATTATTATAAATACTTCAAAATTTATGTTACTAAGAGAGAGGATAATACGTGATGTAATTTCCATATCTGATATTAAATTATGTTATAAGCCAAAAAATAATTAATAAAGAACATATATTGCATAATTTTAATTATTAGATGGAGATCATTTTTGCACTCGCACTTTAGAATGCTGTGGGAGAAACATATATTTAAAGAAAAAGATCAAGGATTTTTCATCTCATTTTATCTAAATAATCTTCATGAATTTATGCATTATAAAGATTTGTAATGATAAGAATACTAACCCACATTTGTAATGATAAGCAATATAAGATTCCAAATTCCACCAAGTCCATTACAGTTTGATCACTTCAAATATCACATAATCAAAATAAAAAGTTACATTTGGAAACGAAGCTTTTTCAACAATTGTCTCGATTCGAAGACATGTCGAATGGATGAAATGAATAATCCAAGTCTGACCTCATCAAATCCATCTGAGAAAAGGTTTTATAATAGACTGATCTGAGCATGCATGAAAAGGAGTTTTTTCCGTCTTAGACTGATCTGAGTATTGTGTTTACTAGCTGAGTAGATTCCAAACGACCAGCTCATATGCTGAAGGCAACGAGAGGAATCTGTGTTGGCTTTTCCCTTTGCCCATGAAAGCTGCGTTTCTCCCACTCTTCTTGCCCTTCCTTGACAGTGGGTGCACCGAGCACGGGTAAGCTGTCGTCGTCAAGCACCACGACTGCAGCAATTTACTTCATGAAACAAGGAAACAAGCCAACCTACCTTGTCTTCATGTGTGGGCATGTTTCTGTTGATCTTTCCATGTCGTTTCATGAAGAGAAGAAGAAAGTTAGGACTTGCTTTCTTGTCATCCTTCAGTTAAGTTTATGAATTACAAAAAATAACTTTAAATTTCATTCGGATCGGTACGTACCAAAGTCCAAACATGATCCGCCGCCGCTATATGGATCATTTCTTTCCGATACATCTGCCACGACCACCATGTATCCGAACATCTGCAGCACACACAGCCAATTACAAGAAGAAAACTAGGTGACAGCAGAACATGATCTTGTTGTGGGCAAAATCGAAGCAGAGTTGTATGGGCTCGGGGAAGAAGGTGGCTCCGTTTAAAATCTTGAAGACCAAAGCACACATCTATAAGAGGGAGTAAATGCCACCGTCTCGTTCATGGCGAAGACAATCCTGCACAGGTTGGATCGAAAAAAGAAACACCAAGATGTAAACCGAAACAAAAGTGCAGGGTGTGAAGGACTTACAGCAAGATCACTTCATAGTGTAAGCTAATAAATGCTGGTGAATATAAACAGAAGCTCCAAACTTGCTGTTGGTGGCTGTGGCCTCTTTTCCCATTGTCTGGAAAATACTGATTCATATATCATCCTTTTGATCCCAAACCGACTAGTATATCTTCTCCATCTGCTCCAAAAAAGGAAAGCCCAGTGCACGAAGCCCGCACTCAGAAGGAAAAGCCAATGAGAAATTGATACGAGAAGTAATGTGCAAAAAAGAAGTAAAACACAAAGAGAATAACAATCATATAATCAAAAAATGTAAAGACGAACAGTAAATATACAAATTAAGAACAAGGGAGAAAACCATCCTTCAATCTGATCTTTGCAAGCCAAAAGAGATTAGGAAACCCAACCATACAAGTAAACTCATCATCCCCACTGGAGCATAAAGTCCTTTAAATCACAGAAACTGACCACAATTACTCATCCCTACACACATGATTACTCAATTCCTTCATGGCTTAGCAATGAACACCGTCTTGACCCCTATCACCACAATAAGTACTGAAGACACCACAGACAATGACCAGCTAAGCTGAATATCCAATAGAAGAAAAGTCCCTTTGTAATCATCCAATGAATATATATATATATATATATATATATATATATATATAACATGATCTTCAAAGAGAAAAAATAATGGAAGCATGTTTACGGCTTGATTAGGAACTGGCCGCAAACAAATAACAACTAAGGCGGATCATTCCACTGCATAGCAGCGAAATATACAACAAACTTCAAGCAACACATTTATCAAATGACCACCTTGCAAGAATAATTAAACCTATTTAGAAACTTGGGGTTCTACTCTCACCATGAAAGGAACTTTCTTCTTTTCTACTTTAACAACTACATACCATGTGTGTCACTACTCAAACAGAACAAAGGAAAATTAAACATCCACAACAAACTCAAGTGGTATGTGATAGACTTTATCATTGAAGTATGGAAATATACATAAGTTCAATAGAAATAGGACAAGACCCTACCCCATAGTCATTCCTTAGAACTTTCTGATTAAACATGCTGTAAAATGCTTATGACAAGATGAAACCATATTCTCGGGGCAAAAATTAGGGATCAATAATTGGAATAACAACATAACTACATAAAGAAAAGCCAATATTATGTGTGTTCACCACAATAAATTTAAGTTTCAATCTTAGTTATCCGCTTTAACCTTCCTACTGAATTTCCAGAAAGACTCCAATCCCAATCAAGGTGCAAGAATCAGCAAATTGTTGCATCATAACTAATCAGCAAAAACATTAAAAACACTAAGGACGCACTTCAAATTGACAGGTTTCCTTTCCATGGTACAGAATTATTAGTCAAAGGAAACCTAACCATGCATCCAGCTGCACACATGGTGTCACCACTTATTCAGGTCAACAGAAGATCATTAGCCCCAAGGTGAGGGGGGCGCATGCACACATGAACTTCATGTTCTTCTGGTCCAACTCGATGTTTTGGAACCATAATCTCAAGCAAAGCACCAGTTTCATCATAGTATGCTTCCAGGTTGGCATCTTCAGGGATACGTGTCGGTAGTGCTATTTCCCTTATAAATTCCCCTGGAGGACAATGCTCAGGGGAAGGGTCAGTTAGTTTGAAAGTCCTGTCATGCCTCTTTATGTAAGGCATTCGGGCAGTGCTGACACAAATTATCTTCAAAATTCCATGTGTAAGATTGTTCCTCCAAGAAACTTTCACTCTTTGTTGATCAGCAAATGGCAAGCTCACCATTATCAAGTACCCCTCATCATCTTCATATATTGTCTTTGCAGCAGTTACAGGTCCATATGCATGCTTCATAACACCAGTGAATTCGTTCAACCATGATGGCTCGACTTCGTGCATCTCCACATCTTGACCTCTTTCAGCATGGGGATTTGCAGGAAGGCAGAAATCCTCATGCATAACATGAGGGAAGAAATCCTTCCTGCGTTTACTGCAAACAGGACAAAGGTCCATCCCATCACCATTAGAATGATTTGACTGTGAAGATAAATTCAAACTCGAAACATTAAGTGACTTTTTAGGATGGGGATGCGAAATGTTCTTCAATGGAGGCCTCTCAATTTCAAATTCAGTGTTGGTTAGATTCCTCCACAACTCAAAATCACTGGCTTCAAGAGGGATTGAAAAATTAAGATCCCTGCCCGTGAGCTCCACCCACTTTTTGCGGTCCAACTCACAAACAACCATTAGATTAGGACACCTGATGACCTCAATTCCATGGACACATTGTGGATTCGACAGTCCCCGATACTGCTTGCGCTGCATCCTGTGGGACCGAACAAAACCCCTGTCAACACTGATTGGGAATTGTGGCTCACCAAGACGAGAGTGCCCATTCATATAGCTCCGCAGTTGCATCTTCCCAAGTGCATTCTCTGGCCTCTCTTTGAAAATCCACATGTACATGTTCTCCATGTCATGCTGAACCAAGAACACATCGTGGCGAACATCAGACTTGTCAAAGCCACTAACCCCATTTTCATCCCAGATGACCTTTCCCTTGGATTTCTCCGAGAGAATGGGCTTGAAATAGAAGCTAAAGAAGAACCACGCCCCCCAAATGCTATCCCCTCGCTTGGTGCACTTGCGAGCAGCAGTGACCTTTGGGATGTGAAGGGTTGCCTCTGCATCATAGAGTTGAGGGCCAAGGCCAACATCCAGCATGTCAAAAGGGTCTGAATTCCACGATTGCTGGGAAGGAGAACGTTCGGCCGAGAGGGGGAGGTTGATGTCCGGGGCACCAGAAAGGACAACCTGATGCCGCTGGATCAAGAGCTCACGGTCGGAGTCCTCGTGTGACGAAGACAGTAAAAGGCCTCCAGATGGATCCATGGAGAGGAGCGTGGATGGGTGATGGTTTTCCATGGATAAGGTGGTGAGGAGATCTTCTCCCATCCTTGTTTCTTCTTTGTTTTCGCCCTAGAACCTCTGCAGTCACCTCCTCCTCCTCCTGCTATCTGATGGGTGGATTTCGAATTTTGCCGCAGTCAACGAACGCATGCCACAGACGCCACACGCAGATCCATTCCATATATCCCACCACCCGATTCCTAATGCACCAAGACAATGCCAGTAACCCCCGAACCCAACAAAACTTCACCTGCAGAAGCGAACAAAAGAATAGTCTTTTTCGTTTCAGCAGTCCGAAACCCCAACACGCTCAGAGACCAAGAACAAAATAGACGTGTATATATTGAAAAAGATGAGATTTTTCTGATCGCTTTAGATCTGCAGCATTTAAATCCACTCAAATACAACCAAATCTCGCAGGTCAAAAGTTCTTTTCCATGATCTTTCTAAATGAAAGCGCCAGAAACTTGAATGGAAGAACGGGTATATGACAGAAAGATGATATTTTTACCGATTCTGAAGCGATGAAATCAGCGAAAACCCAAAGCACGACAGTGGAAACCGCACAAAAGATATCAAGCAGAACATCACCACAACAGCGGAGAAGGGGGAAGGGGGAAGAAACAAGGCCGAAGACCCGGAGCAAACGGATTGGGATCTCCTCAATATTACCTTTTGGGATCAAGGGGAGATCGCTAGGGTTCCAATTCGAAGAAGATGAAGCCTCTCGTGAGCCTCAAATCCACCATGGCTCCCAAATTTAGGATAAGTTGGAGTTAACAGCGGATTTGGAAGGAGGAGTAGAGGGAAATCGGGAGAAAGCGGCCGAAGGCGGAGCGAAACGGTAACGTGCGCCGGTTAAAGAGCCGCCCTCAGGAAACGCCCTCCACCGGATGGTACCTACACCGGCCGTTAGTTGACGGTAACGGCGTTCTCTGTCTACTTGCCGGATATATTATTTAAATCGCCTCAAACTTTTTTTGTATATCACATTATTCCTCCATAGCCATTTAATCTTTCCACCGTCCATCATTATTATAAATAAATAAAATTATCGATCTACTAACTTTTAAAAAAATTTTCTCTTTTTAGGTATTTTTTCAATGATGCCGCTCGTCTTTTTTTAAAAAAATTATTTATTTATTATTTTTATTCTTTTCAAATATTTTAAATACCTCGGACGATTGATAAGAGATGATTAGGCGAAGATAAGAGATATTTAGGATATTAAATAAAAAAATTAAATTTAAATAAGAATTATAAAAAATAAAAATATATTTTTATTTATTAAAAAAATAAAAAAAAATTGAATTCTCCAACAAAAAGGTTTTGCATTTTTCCTACAAAATGCTCATACTTTAAAAAAATATCGTAGAATATTTTTAAAATAATTATTTTACTCTTATCGACCATCGTCCTTTACCCAATTTCACTCATGTCTACACCCTATCGACTTGCAATTTTCATCGTAGTCATCCATGATTCTCACACGAGGTCTTGCCCAATGTATCTTGCTAATGATCCTCTGAGAGGAAAAAGGAAAGACCATGAGATTACTTTCTTTATTTCGTAGCACCTTATTAACGATGGACTAAGCCTCAAGTCGTATTTCTTAAATATAATGATAACGTGATTTAAGACTCATAGACGTAGTGGCGAACATAGAAAAGAATGAAGATACGTCGCTATTATTATGGAGAAAAAGACACAAATAATTACGTTGCTAACGGATGATCATTCGTGATAAAACAACTTTTTATATGATCAGAAATACTATGTAAGAATTTTTTAAGCACTCTAGAAAAAAAAAGTTAGAAAGTTTTCTTTTTAATTTACCCTAAAAAAAATCCTATATATAATACGTATAATTTATTAACAATTATGATAAGGCGGAGGCCATGTCCCTGTGACTTGTCTCCTTTCGCTTGTGATCATGAGGGCAACGTATCAGTGTGTGTGTGGGGGGTTCGGTAGCGGCCGACCTTATCAACAAGGGAACAAACATCTCATGCGTCCGCTCTCCACCTGTAAAGTGGATTCGCGGAACAGAATAATAGCTTTACTCATTCCTTGCCCGATGAGACGACCGAACGCGTCCCATGGTGATCTGCTGGTGTAGGTTTACGGATACGTTCATCCTCGCTACGGTTGACCTCCTCAAGAAATCAACGGGTCAAAATCCAAAGCAATTTTATTTTGACCAGGCAGCCACCGATCATAAGTGTAGATTAAGGGGACAGCTGTAGCGGTGGGGACGGGAGGGTGCGTTGGGCCCCGCGTCACCGTGTACGTAAAGCGAGTGGAAGAATAATATTCTGGGCACTATTTTACGTACGCTGTAGTGCTTTATAATGGTTATAAGTGGTTGGAGTCTTGGCTTTCATTATTAATCATATGATGTGATGTGATGTGTCATTGGCATCATTATCAATCGAGTTTTGGTGTTTTTTATTATTATGATTTTTTTATATTTTATTTGCATGTAATTCTTAGTTTTTCATATTTATTATGATTAAACAGAAAATGAAGGTGCAGATTGAAATTTAAATTAATCATGAAAAATACTATAATATTTTAATGCACTGGGAAAACAAAAAGTTGTTCATGCAACCCAATTTCAAGGATCAGATGATCAAGCAAATTCATGTCTCCTACAAAAGAAAAAATCAAAAACATTTTTTCTTGATGGTTTTGCTTTGTTTTTTGTTTTTTCTTGCTCATATCTTCCATAATTTTGTTGTTTATAGTTTTCTGATTTTTTTTGGCATTATTTGTATGAAATGTTATTGCATTTTATACATCGCATAGTCCCATAAAAAAGTTGAAATTTTAGTTTATGATCCCAAAAGCCACGTAATAAATTAATAGCAAATTTATTAATAAGCAGTGTTAAAATTGCCTTACTATCTATAAATTACTAGCAAATATAGACATATTTGTACTCTAAATTATTTTTTTGTATTGGTTTTCTAAATTTAACTCTAGCATATATTTTTGTAAAGTTTAAATTTTTCGGATAAATCGGTTAATCTCCATCAGTTGATCATTAGCATAGTAATATTAAAACTATAATTCTAATATGTAGCAGTTAAATTGATTTGATGTCAGTGACTAAAGATTTAAATGTTCGAGGGATATATGTGTCTGAGAATAATTTAAAGTAGCAAAAATATTATAATCATAATTTGAAAGGATAAATGTGTGAAACCCCATAAATTAATTGATCCAATTGATGCGAAAAGTTTATCTTATAATCGTAACTCGTCACATGACTATCTTAAAAGTACAAAAATAATAAAGAACTTAAAAGTGAATGTTCTATCTTTCTCGTAAAATTTTTTTAGACATATTTTACTTTGAAGCTCATTATTTACTAATACCAAAATTAATTATTATTCAACTATAATTTTACTTTCCATATCAATTCTAATTTAAGCATCGAAAGAATCGAGATGAGCTCGCTCACCCAACTGTAGCCTTCTTACGAGTCGACTGCTCGATAAATACTTGAACTATCTTATGGTTCGTTTTGAAACTATTATGCATGCGGCTCAAAACTAAGTTAGACTAACAGGAACGTCACTAATAATTACACTATCATCAAGTAAAAAAGAAAACTTCTCATCTTTATTTATCATCTAAAACTTTGGCGTGTAATTTTTTGTTGATTTTTGAAAGAAAAAAGTGTTTTTCATTTATGAAAAATATATATATAAAAAAGAAAACTTTGACTCAGATAGTTCATCATAAGAAACTGAAGTCTTCGGAGGAAGCAGCAGCCGAGATGTTATTGGCCACCGTCAGTCAGTGCTCCCATGCGTTCCATTGCAGAAGCTTCCCCGTCGCCCTGCATCCGATAGAGGTCGGAGGGGGAGGATCTGTGTCGAGCTCCCATAGGCACCACATTCATGTTGCTTTACTGCACCATTTGGCAGCAGGAGATGAAGGAATGGTGCAGCAATCCTCGAGTTTGGCGGCATCTCTCTCTCTCTCTCTCCAGACTGCAACAGATGTTGGATTATGGCTGCTGATACTGAGAAGCTTCTCTGTATCGAGTTATCGCCTTAGTAGGTGAGGGTTGAGATTACAATATAAATTATCTTTATTTATTGTTAGTAGAATATAGAGTTTATCTGACCTCTTCATTCATTATTAGAAAAATATATTAGTAGATATCATCGAGTATATCAATTTGAGATTATCATAATAATAATATATGTTTTGTATTCACTTTATTCGAGATTTTTTAGTTTTTGAGAATATATTTATGAGATTCTCACTGAACATATTTTGTTGATATGTCTAGTTTTTGGTTTACACAACAATCTTCTAACTATACTAAATCTTATTGCTATGTTGTAAAAGAAAAATGATATGTAACATCTTTATGGTATCATAGTATGATTAAAAACATGTAGGCACCATGAGCCTATCATCGGTAGTTATCTATATCAGTTGAAAATTCTTTGATAAGTAAATCGAGTATTTAAGAATTGTGAGTTACGATAACTTGATAGTCGATCTTTTTCAATTAAAGTTTTGAGAATTTGATACTATATTGGATATTCATGGACTTTTAGTGTATCATGCTAATAATATTGTTGATTGAACTTATTTGATTACCTTTACTTGATCAATATCCTTTTAATTCACTATAATTTTAGAAGAATTCCTTTTGCTTATATTGACACTAAATGGTTAAAGATAATTAACAAAGAAAGAAATGTCAATTGTTTTTTCCCTTATCTTAGAAAAAAGAATGAGAAAACTAAAGTTAGATAATAACCTTGTTCTAAGATATTTCCTTATATATTATTTAAGAGATTTGATTGGATTATCCTAGAATAGGTAAATTGAATTTATTATTGAACTAGAAGAGGTAAAGAAACATTAACCTAGTGTATCCCTATAGGGATGCACCTGTTATGTTCGTGAAGAAAGATGAGTGACCGAGATATATCTTAACTCTAGACAATACAACTAAGAGATTATAAAGAATAAATATATGTTTTCTAATAAAAAAAATTTGTCCGATCAAAGTGCATTCAAAGATTGATTTGAGTTCTAAAATTATTAAGAAAATAATTTTCTAATAGTATCTTTTGGATTAACTAAAATATCGGTTGCCTTAATGAATATCAGAACTTCCATTCGTATCTAGAAAAAATTATTATCATATATATAGATGATATTCAAATATAATTCAAGAGTAAAATGAAATATGAATATTATCTTAGATAGCCCATAAAGTTCTAAGATAAAGAAAAAAAATATGTCAAATTGAGTAAGTGTAACTTTTAGTTTAATGACCTTATGCGTGTTAGGCGATTGAGTCTTTTTATTGATCCATACAAAGATTAAAATTATATTAAATTAAAAAATAATTAATTATCACAAAGGTTAGGAATATGTCTTTAAATGTTCAAAACGAAGGCCAAGCACTAAAGACTTATTAGTAAATCTCAAAAAACATCAATCCTTAAATAAAGGTGGGAGTAGGTTAATGTAAAATAAATAGATAATAAAATTTGGATGATTATGGATCCTCTAACTAAGCCTATCAATTTTCTTCATGTTAATAAGAGTTAATTAATTAACAAGCTAATAGATTTATATGTTAGAGAGATCATATTATATTAGGTAGAGATTTTATTTTAGGGAAGTTTGTAAAATGTTTTGGGCATACGGTAAAGAGATAATATAACTTTTTCAAACTTGAACTAATAACTAGACTAGACAATATTGACGATATTTTTATAAGAACATATGTCTTATTTAGACGGAGAAAGAAAGCTTTTTGGACCATATATAATTCAAAATGATGCTTATGTTGTCCAAAGAATCTATTAGACTATTAACAACACGAAAAAAGAGATAAAACTAATCGATAGAGAAGGGATTCTCTAACAAGAGGGGTTATGAGATTCGATAAAATGATAATTTAACTCTTAGATTTATAGGCCTTGTTAAAATCTTGCATAACATCATATTTGTGTCTTGCATAGTTCTACCACCAACTACTAAGCATACATGATGAATTTTATTTCATGATGCTCGAAAATCATCAAATGTTCTTGAAAGAAGTGTGTCTTGAAAAATATAAGTTTATATTATTAGTAAATATTTGCTTGAAGCAATATCAAGCGAAAAGTATGTCAAGGAATAATATCCATATTTTTTTTCCTTGAGATAATTCAAATTTGAGTACCAAATTACTAAAGATAGAAAGAAATATAATCACTAAAATTTTATTCTCCAATTCTTAAATTAAAATTTTCTATAGTTAAAACCCTATCTTAATATTTTTACTTTATTTCCTTACATGTGTAAAAGAAAAATCAGCTAACAATTAAAATCTATTGCCGATTATGTGCTAGCAAGTTAGGAATAAAAATATAAATTTAAAATAAGATAATATAAAAAATTAAAATTTATTTTGTACTCTCGAAGCGAACTTCGTCCTCTCCTATTTAATGATGGGCAAATCCAAATTTCGTTCATCAATCGTCGCATTAGTGAGGGGCATCCAAAGGAAGGTGGACCAATGTGATGGAGAAGGGTAATTTCATATCTCTCATTTATTGTTTTTAGATTATTTAATTTATAATTTTATTTGTTTATGAATTTTGATAATTTGATTCATAATTTTTAGTATTCTTTTTTGTTATTTATATATGATTTCTAATATAATTCTGTGAGATTCATGTACCTAAATTTATATTTATAATATTTCATCATAGTATGTTTAGAATTCCTTTTGTGTTTTGATGTGTCTCGAAATATGATTGAGGTGGCAAATGTTTGACCTCGATGTTCAGTGTTTGATGTCTGTCGCCGTAAGATCTTTGTTCTCAATGATTGACCTCAGAATGTGATGTTGATGGCAAAGGTGTAATCTTTTTTCGTAGTCTTGTTTGTTTGTGTTGATCCGTGGGGCGAGAAAGAGATGTTGGTACTCTGATTCCTTTCCTGTTCCGTTTGGAGTTGTTTGGAGGCTCATTCTGTGCTTCGCATTCTTGCTTGCTAATAATTCTTTGTTCGATTCATTCGTAAGTGGTTGTTGGTTCGAAGGAAGTGAAGGCGATTCTGGGGATGTTCTCTGTCATGATATGCAGAGAAGGAGATGAAACCTTTGGGTCGTTTGGGCGTCGGATTGACTCTAGTCTCAGGCTACATCTTCTTGGTTCTTGTTGCAGAGTATTACTTTTCTTTCTGAGGAAGAAGAGAAGAACCAACAGAGACGTGGAAGCCAACTACGCTGGCCTTGCCATGGCGTTCCCCAGTCTTAGCTGCTGGAAGGGACAGCCTGACGAGAGCTACACAGTTCTCGAACCTCAACAAGTCTCCATTTCGTCGAACGGAGCAGCTTACTCTGACGACGAGCAGCGCCACCTCCGATCCAACTCCACTAAGGATATGTTTGCGATGCCATTTGGAGGAGAAGACACAGAGGACGCAGAGCTCTGGTGCTATGCAGGTCCTTCGAGGCTTCTCTTCACCATCATAGAGGAGACGGAGGAAGACTTGGAGACCGAGGATGGGGAATCCACAGTGGGGGAGAACACCGAACGTTCCGCAGAGAGGACCTTGAGGAATATGCTAGAGATGTCGCAGGAAGATGATTCGACTTTGATGCCGTCTTCGCCACCTCCGACGCTCAAGTTCCTCATGGACGCAGAGGAAAAGCACTACAAGAAGATGCTAATGGACAAAGCGCTAAAGGTTCAAAGAAGCTGTAACCTTAACGAAAGCAGGGAGAAGAAGGAAGCTTCTGTTGCTCCTCATCCTCCCGTTGCTGCCTCCTCCCTCACAGGCACACGGTCACAGTTAAAAGGACAGGTGATTAGTCCATCACCTTCTTCTCCCTTAAACATCACAAGTGTGAATGAGAAACCACGTCCCATTTCCGATTGATCTCTGTAAAGTTGGTGAAGATGAATACAAATCTATCCTTGACATCGTTCCAGATGTGCAGTGAAACTGTTTGTTCATGTTGTCTTCTTGTTTTTGTTCAGTGCTTCTCCTTCAGCTTCAGCATCATCATCATCTTTCTTACACCCCTCCATCTTGAGGTGGCCGCAATTACAAGACATGAGAAAGCTGATATCAATATTCTCCAACAAGCAAAAAGCTGCATCTTTGTCATCTTGTTGAACGCTGATGATATTAGTCCAATGTTCTGAGAGATGATTAGTGTATCTTGAGAGAAGTGACAACCTTGGAAGAGTCGGACATGATGACCACCATGTCTTGGCCTCTGTGTAAACAACAAACATATATGATATGAGGAGGGAACAATGTGGTGACCAACCCAAAGCTTATTTTTATGCACTAACAATGATTCATGGGTTTGACTTAGGTTAGGACATGGATGTTCCATCAGATCAATTGATCGACTCCAAGCATTATCTACTGTGCCCTCAGTGTATCGTCCCTGTTCCTCCATGGCTGCATGCTCAAGCCTGTAGAGCAGAGAGGCTGTGTGAGGCCTGTGAGAGTAGACAGTAGAGAGAGCATGTGAACCATGAAGATGATGGCCATGGTGTGCACACGGAACAAGATTCTGGCTGTGCTCGCCACAGCATCTGTCGTTTCTTGCAGCGCACAGGATGAGGTACCAGCAACTCGATACTCTTCCCCAGAACATGGCTCGGTTGACTGTTCTGATTGGAAGAAAACTCTGTAATCTCATGTTCTGATCACTGAGTCCCCGGTGGCTCGAACGGCGAAGACTGGCCATCCCACCACCGTTACAGCAGCAGCAGCTGCACACCGACTGGTCCTCCTGCTGAACTCCACAGGTCATGAAGCAGTAAAGTAGCTTTTTCTTCCTCTTCGTGACAAGAAGACAATTTCCTTTTCAGGTGAATAGGGGGCTTTGTTACGATACGAGGGTTAACAAAGTGGGAATTGGAATTGTACTAATTGGGGGGATTTCCCACTCATTTAATTGAAAAAATTAACATAGCCGAGAATTTAGGATTTGTTGTCGTCATTATTGTATAATAAAAAAGATAAATTCCTCGTAAAAAGTCTTAATTTTTTTTCTTTTTTTCGTAAAGAATTTTTTTTATTTACTCCGATAGAACGTATTTTATTTTAAAAAAGATGAGATTATCTGTGGTCGTTATCTCTATCCGTCTATGACCACCATCGTTCCTCATCATTATCTGTCGTCTTTACTCCACAATGAGATTTTGTTGCTCTTATCGTCGTCTACCGTTAAGGCTTCATCTTTGTCCCGTTGTCAATATTGATAAAGAAGAAGGAGGTGACCACAATAGGGTTTTCCCTCTCTCTTCTCTTGGGTATGATTCATTACTCTACTTATTGTCAATGTTTATTTCCTTAACTGTTTTGCTAATCTAATAGAGTGGTAGTGACTGGTGTGCTCCTTCAGCACAAGAGGGCTCAGAATCCAGAATATAGGGTGATAAGGTTGACAAAGTCGACGATGAGTAGGTAGGGCGATGAGGACGATGAGATTTACGATGAGGATGATAGGGCAATAAGGATGATGGGCCTTAATGGTACCTCAACAGTAACAAATAAAAATGAGTTTGAAAGCAAAAGTGATGGGATAAAGGTGATGATTAACGAGTGAAGGTCAACAGTAATCTTGTCTTTTAGAATGGAAGCAAAAAAAAAAAATTTAGAATTTTATTTTAATAAAAAAATTCATAATATATTGGAGTAATAGGACAGCAAAATAAATAAATAAACGAGAAGATGACATCCATAGTGATTAATGACACAGGCCGTAGCAAACGGCTAAATCACCAATTCAAAATTCAAATAAAGCAATACGACCAGCTTCTTGACCCTTTTCTCCATCGAAGCCATGTTTGCTTCTGCTGCTGCTGCTACCATCACCATGGACGCTCCTTTCTTCCATGAGCTACGAAAGCAGGCTTCCTACTTCCTCAAGCAAAAGATCCAGACGGCGCGATTGGCTCTCACCGACGTCACTCCTGCTCAACTGTAAGCTCGTCTTGTGAACCCCCGCCATCGGCATGAATCTGTTTCTCATGCTGAATCCATGCTCGATCGGTCATGCAGACTGACTGAGGAAGCTACCAACGCGAGCTCGTCGGCGCCGGACGCCAAGACCATGCGCTGCATATCGCGGGCGGCCTTCGAGATCGACGACTACTGGAGAATCGTGGAGATTTTGCACAAAAGGTTGGGTTTTCGCTTCAGCGCTTCATCGACAGGCGCAGTCTGATCCTTCTGATGCTGGTTTACCAGGTTCGACAAGCTCGACAGGCGGCAGTGGAGAGAGCCTTACAAGGCTCTGATACTTCTCGAGTATCTCCTCACCCACGGACCTGGGAGCATCGCGGATGAGTTCCAGAGCGATACAGAAGCTATACGAGATCTCGGTAACATCGAGTACATCGATGAACGGGGGTTAGCACTTATGATCCCGGTACATGTAGTCGTGCTCTGTTGGTGTTCGATCCTCTGTTTGCCTCAGCTTCGGTGGTTTCTTCACAGGTTCGATTGGGGCGTGGCTGCGAGAGAGAAAACAGTGAGGGTCCTGAAGCTGCTGGAGAAAGGGCCACATCTCAAGGAAGAGCGCGAGCGGGCGAGAAAGATCTCTCGTGGGATTCAAGGATTCGGTAGCTTCAACCTGAGTTGGTCATCAACCGCTGTTCATCGACCTGAGTTGGTAGATTCAAGGGCTCATGATGCAATCGTCAACAGCGAAAAGGAGAACTCGAAGCGCGATGCCGGGATCGATCGACAGATAAGGAGAGCGGCAGGAACAGCGAGAAGAAGACCCCTACAAGAGAACTCAGGCTACAAGAATTTGGCAACCGAGGGAACTGCAAGTCCGGCTACAACAAAGATGCATCTTCCAGAGGAATCAAAGCCACTGCTACATTACTGACGAAGGGAGATTTAATTCCTCAAAGATCTCTCTTTTGATGATTTCCAGAATCACAACTTGGATCACCTGCTCAAGAGTTGACAGAAGCTTCTACTGCGGGGTTTTTGATGTCATGTTTCCTGATCAATCCAGTCTCAACATCCTTTGTTCAAAAGAGTCACATACTCTCAATGTGCTTGAGAAAGGCATGATGTTGACTTCTTGTCTGCAACTTTTCCTTCATATTTGCATGTTTACTTCTAGTCTTTGCATTAGGTGGAGTCCTCTTTTGACAGCTCTAATTTATGAGCATATGTTGCATTGATGATTGAATATATGAATTGCGAGATTCTTTTCTGTGCTTTGATTCATGTACCATCATAAACCCTGATTTGAAGAAGAAAGAGGATGCCTTCACCTTCTAACATAATATGCAGTATACGGTAGAAATCTCTACTTTGGATGATAATTATTTATATTATTAATAAATGTTCATTTTTTGTTTATATAAATCCAAAAACAGAAATATATCAAATTCCATAATTTCCAAAATTCATTTCGTTGAAATTAACAGAAATTATTTTAAATAAATGTTTACTACTCTGAATCATAGTAGTTGAGCATTCTTTGGTTGGATTTTAGACATTTAATCCATATTTTTACACCTCTTCTTGGGAAAAACAATTAATTATTGATGAATTTAGACATAGAAAAAACTTTTAAGTAAATGATTTCTCGGAGTTATAATATCGTTTTAAATTATTTTTCTTGACGGTTCGCCGTTAGGGGCGTAAAAAACGGTAAAAAGGAGAGGAGAGGAGGGAAGAAGAATACCGGAAATGGAGCGGAGGGGCGATCGCTTCTCCCACCTCTCGGCCTCGTCCCCGATCGTTACCCAACACTTGTACGCATCTCATCCCCTTCCTCCCATTCGATTCAATTGCTTCTCTCTTCCCTCCTCTGTTTTCTTTTAGCTCTGGTTTCGATCATCCCACCACCCCCCCGAGTTGTTGTTCTTGTTTCTACAGACGCAGCTCCATCTACATGGCTTTGATTGACGGATCGAGACCCAGCCATTCGCGGTCGGATCTGGTTCTCCTGCCGTCGCGCGGCGTCGAGCGGATCGGAGGTCGCATGCTATTCGTCTGTTGACGCCCCCAAAATGGCCGACCCCCTGCGGCATGAAAATGATCACCCAGGATGCATGCAGAGCCTCCTCCATTTCCTCGATCTGCACCAGCGTCTTCGCATACGGAAAACCTTGGCGTATCGAAGAAGCAGCTCCGCGAGTAAGTGGTTTTCTTTTCCGTAGCCCGTTGATGTTTGTTTGTTTGTTTGTTTTGATTTTTGTTTCGGACGATACGTTGAATAAAAAATCGAACCGAAAAACTAAACCTAAATCCAAATGCTATAGATAGTTTCAATTCGATATTATCTTCTTCGATTCGATTAATAGGTTTGGATTGAAGATTTTAATTTAAAAATATCAATATAACCGTGTTCATTACCGTCAATCCTTAATCGATTCAAATTGGTCTAAAGACTTTAAAGGCATACTATAAATGAGCATTTTTGTTTATGTTACCTTTTTTTTCTTGTTTTAATCTTTACTAATATAAAATGAAGATTCTGTATTTGATTGGGTATTCAGTTGTTGTCGAGAATGTTTAGGATGGCAATTGTGAAATAAATTTTTTGAGAATGTTCACACAATTGAACAAAGATTCTGGTTTGATTCACTTGAGCTGAACCATTTCACTGAGTCGATCGATTCAATTGAAAATATATCTTTTTTAAATTATTTAAAATTAAAAATCGATCAACTAATTAACCAAACCTGATTAATATGCTTTAAATCAGTTCAATTAGATCGGTCCGAACTGATTCCGGTTCGGACTACCTTATGTTAATGAAACCGAACTATTTTCTAGTTCGATTTGGTTCGATCCTTAATGGTTCATTTCTATGTTGAAATCCATAAAAGAAGTATATGGATTCCATGCTAATATGATATGCTTGGTTCCATTGTCCATAAAAGACATCTACAAATTAATTACTCCAGAATTAGAACCTGCGGCAGAAATCAGCACAATACACTTTAAACCTCCAAAAGAAAATGTCTGTAGTTCTTATATCTGTTTGTACATGTAATTGCATGGTAGTTCAACTGTTCTTCGGTATTTCTGCTGTCGGGCTACATGTTTAGTCATGGCATTCTTCCTGCAGGGGTCAAATCTCCAAAGAAGAAACAGAACAGTGCTTCAGTTGGCGACGATCAGAACTCTTTGGATAAAGATGAAGACTTGCTTGTAAATTCTTACCTTGCTTTTCAAGTTTCTGCTTCTTCCAGATTTCCTGAACGTTGCATGACATGCCACTTCGATTGGTTTTCAGACCAAAAACAAAGAGAATTCTGGAGGCAGAAGCTCCCCTAATGCTCTTATGAAAAGCTTGATCTCCAGAAGGAGGTCCAGGGAGAAGGATAAGAAGCAAAACACTTCCCCCTCATCATCACAGATGCAGCGCACCCTCTCCATTCATCACTTGGAAAGCGATGACTATGTCTCTCCTGATGAACTTACTCCTCAAAATGAGAACTTTGCAACTGAGCTTACCTCAGATGTGACTGAGTGCTCTTCTAGCAACGAAGCTGTGCCACCTTTGCCAATGACAAGCGAGAGAGCTGCTATTGAGAAGCAATCTCGATTTGGCAGAAGCAAGAGTCACGTGAATTGGGCGAGTCGCCACCAGCTCGTTGACAAGAAGTTAAATGTAGCAAGAGACTCCATACCAAATGACTTAGGGAGAGATGCTGCACTCTATAAATCCAAAGAGTTCATGGAGATGATGCAGTTGTTCAGCGAGAACAAGGAACTGTTCCTGAAGTTTCTGCAGGATCCTACCTTTATTTTCACCGATTACACGCAAGAACAAGCAGCTTCGATTTCAGCCATGAAACTGACCAAGTCTGGTTCATTTCCTGCTGCAGGATGGTCTCATAGAAACAGACCACTAAGCCTTGATGATAAACAGGAAGAAAATGGATCTATAGATGCACCATCTTCGACTTGTAATGCCGTCGAGGATGGTGCACATTCCATGGAATCAATGGCTCATCCAGATGCTGCTAACATGCTTAAAGCAGAATCTGAAGCTTTAGACCGCGCTGAACTTGGTTTTGCAGAAACAAAGAACACGAAGAATGTTGGAAATGTTTCGACACGATTTAAGGTCCTTAAGCAGAAGATAAAGTACATCATCAAGGAGAACAAGAAGGAACACCAAAGGATCTCCATGGATAGCATCCTTCACAAGATTCCTTATGGCGAGAAAGTCTCAGAAAATGTGAAGAAAGAAGCCGAGAGTCTCTGGCATCGTAGACTAGGCAAGAGCATCTCGAGAGCTAAGAAGATTGGACTTCTTTCTTCAAGCAACAAGCAGACGCTTCGAAGTATCAGGAAGTCTTCCTCTCTCACAGAATCCTTGGGCAGGTACTCGCAGTTGCTAGAATCTGTTTCGAGCACAGAATCTAAGAGGTCTCCTGACATGTCAATGATGATTAAAGAAGATACAGATTCACTGAGGCAGAAGACACCAAAACTATTGAAAAGGATATTTTCGCTTCCAGAACTTCCTACGGGTTCTGCGAGCAAAGATCTCAGGAATGAAGTCTCTAATTCTCAGTTACTGGTGCGACCAACTTCAAGAGCTGTGGCTCGTAGTACAACTGTGAAAACCTGTGACACTAGTCAGCTGGATTCAGTAGCTGCTCTTACCTCCAATGAACATAGCATTGAACCAGAGAAGCTGGTAGAACATTTCATGGAGGAAGATGTTAGTGGGATACCTGTTGAAACCGAAGAACCGTCGGTGCCAATTGATGAACAAGAACAGTCCATAGTAGACGAAGATAGTTTTAGCTCCCTGGACGGCAGCAAGATCTTGGTCACAGACTCGAAAGTTCATGAGGATACTACAAGTCCAACAGGGGAAACTCCACAGAGCGAGACTGAGGAGTCGGAGTTGATGACCATTGCAGAAGCTGATTTTGGCATCGATGCCTCTCTTACTATGGAAAATTTAGAACAGCAGCAGATTGAGGAGACACCAACTCAAACAAAGTTCAGTGAATTCAGCTCTTTCCACATCCAAGTGCACGAAGGGGAGGAGGCTGAGTTCGAATACGTGAGGAACATACTCATGATGTCTGGCTTCAGCAGCGAAGAGGCCTTTGGAGAATGGCACTTGCCGGACCAGCCCGTCGACCCATCACTCTTCGAAGACTCACTGGATGATCTCGAGACTGCTGCAGCTGAACCAAACATCACGCTCAAGCACATGCTCCTGTTCGATCTCATCAACGAAGTGTTGCTGGAAACATACGACACCTCGTTCGCTTACTGCCCCTGGGTTCTGCACGCCGACTGCCAGATCCGGCCATTGACGGTGGGTCACCGAGTGCTTGAAGAGGTGTGGGCAGTCATCAGCAAGCACCTCAGCTATCAACTGCTGCTGGATCAAACAGTGGAGAGTACCGTAGCTCGAGACTTCACGAGGAACGACGGCTGGATGAACCTTCAACATGATACCGAGTACGTAGCTCTGGACCTGGAAGATTTGTTGTTGGAAGACCTGATCGATGAGATTGTCCTCGAGTTTACTGGTTTATCCTGTTCAAGCATGCTTCATGTACCATATTATAATTGAATGATTTATGAGTGCTAATAATATTATAATATATAAAATTAAGTTTTAGTTGATTAACATCGCCCGTCTAGCTCAGTCGGTAGAGCGCAAGGCTCTTAACCTTGTGGTCGTGGGTTCGAGCCCCACGGTGGGCGCGATTTTTGTTTTTAGGCAACTATTCGGATCGGCTCTAAGGCAGGTCTAATCCGTACGACGTCGGCGATTCGGGTCGGATCTAAGCCGGGTCGAGCCTCCATCCGTATCACGTCGGTGGCCCGACCCGTATTATCCTACAGGATCGGTTTTAACGGATCCCCAAAAACGAGGAAAACAACAAGTCGTTGAATCAGCATCCTCGCACCAAATCCGACGGTCCGCAACCGACCCAACACCAAAAAGCGAAGTGAATGGGACCGTTCGAGGTTCAAACTTGTCTCTCGCTAACGGTAAAGACACTCACCGTCAGTGACCGGTGCCGCCAGACCTGCCATTGTTGCCCAAACGCTAACGCCCTCATCACGGCGCCGTCACCAGACTCATCGCTTCCCTTTCTCCCTTCGTATATAGTATTATTTTATTTCACCCCCCTTCTATCTCTCTCTGACCGTCTGCTTCAACGGGCGAGGTTTCCTTTCGAACGACCTGCCCGTCTTGGGGAGTCCCGCCAGCTTCTTTCGATTCGAGGGTTTCGAATCAGATCTCGAGCTCCCCTTCCGCCCTCTCCGCTCCTCATCCCCTGGAGGTACTCGATTCTGCGGTCCTTCTTAATCTTCTGCGTCGCTGATTGAGAGATCTCTGTTCATGAATTCCTCTTGGAACCGCTTTGGATCGATGCTTTTCTGGAGTTTTGTCGATCATACTTGGTCTTGTTCTCTTCTTTGTTGGTCTCTAACCCTAGTCTTTTGAGTCGATTGCAGCTGTTGCTGCTGGTTTCGGATTGGGAAAATCTATTGTTACTTGGGTTCGGCCGTTGGAATTGCTTTTGATGTCGTGTTTTGATGTGATTTGTAGGTCATAGGGGTTTCTTTGGAATGAAGATCGAGCAAAGTTGTGTGGAGAACAAACAATCTGCGGCAGCTTCGAGCTCATCCCTGTCCGAGGGTAGTTATGGAATGACTAGGATGTCACCTGCTGTTTGTAGCAGGCCAGCGCCTTCACCATCGGGGAGGTATTGCTTTATCTATTAATTTTGGATTCGGATGCTTAGGGTAGTGATGTTTAAATACGGATGCTACGTTCTCCATTGAATTTTGATTGATTATCTAAGTCGACTGATTGGTTTTTGAGCTAATGGGAACAGTAGCTAAATTGTTTTTTGTGTTCAATTGCTTCAATATGTGAGAAGGTTTGTTAAGTTTAGTTCTTTTACTCTTTTTGCATATATTTTATACGAATTTCAGATAACTCAAGAAAAATAAATCTCATGTAGTCTTTTGTAGAATTAATGTAGTTAATGAGACGATTAATTCATCGACTATATTGATTAACAGAAACTGGCTTGATCTCCTGTGACATGAATCTTTCAGACATTTAATTAGTTCCACTTTGTCTAAGGACATCTTAAGGTGAACATAATGTTCAACCTTCTACTTGTGCATCTTTTTAGATTCTCTTGTTAGAAAGGCTTCTTTTGTATAATATTATGATACCCTAGTTTAGCTCCAATTCGAACGTGGAAGAATAATTGAGTTGGTTTTTAGGGCCAAAGTGGGTGCATCACCATTAACTTAAGACTTAAGTACAATAGACCAATGGTTCAGACTTATCGAGATCTCCAGTTGGATCATGACTAATAGTATTAGAGCATTCTATTATTGCTTATGGTGAGGGGCCCAAGTGGAAAAGAACTACTTGTGGGTGGGTGAGATTGGAGGTACACCACGTTGTGGAGCCATCACTAAGTTGGACTATACATTCAGTGTAGTAGGATGATTTGGAGTTATGTTTGGGTCTTACCGAGGATGACAAGTCTTAAATAGGGAAGATTGTGACATTCCAGCTTAACGGATGTGAGAGACAATTGATTTGATTTATAGGACTAGATTGAATGTACCACATCAATTTGGACTTAAGAAGATTAACCTAGACTTAAGGAGCTTTGGATCAGTGGTTCAGGTTCATCAAGTAAATAGGTAAATTACTCTGTTGGGCGGGATCACGAAAAATGTTGGAGAAAGCCTTTATGAGATAATAATAGAAGTTGCCAAGACTTGCTTTGGTGCTTCTTTTTGTATGGTATCACAGTACATATGATGTATCTTTTAGGCAACCTAATGATACACAAGCTTTCCATTGTTGAGGACCGAATCATTCTCTCAAACAATAGAAGCAGATTTATGACTGATGATTTCTTTTGAACTCTAAATGGGAATACAGAAGTTGAAAATTACAAGAGTTGGATACAAAACTTGATAGCAATCTTTTCATGGCTGACTCTCTCTATAAAATTATGGTAATTTTCTTGAACTCAAGACCATCTAGTATTACTCTTTGTATCCATGGTGCTTGGGCCCGGCACTTTACCTCAGTATACCCATGTTGCTATTACACAATATGATTCTGATGTGGTATATGAGTATGCAGCCTGGTTGGACTGGTTATGACCGAGGTTGGACTGGTTATGACCGAGGTTGGACTTGTTGATTTCAGGTTAGAACCAACCAATTCTCTCAGATTTTGGATCATCAGTCGTTGGAGAAGAAGAATTTGAGAGAGAGAGAACGGTAGCACTAAGAAAAATAAGATGAGGGAAAAATCATGAGGCAGAGAAGATGCTGTGTTACTGTTGTGCTGTTTCAATTGCTTGCATGAGGGTGCAAGAGAGGGAAAGTGCACTTCATGTATAGGTTTCTAGATTATAGTTTGCGGTAGGACCTCTTGGGGTAAAGTTTTACACGTACCTAGAGAGAGATATTTTGAAAGCAACTCCTGCCCCTGTCACGTGGGATTCAGTGCTAATTCATACAAAATTATGAGGTTGCTCTAAACCATGGTTCCATGTTTTGATCTGATCTCTAAATATCGGGTGGTTCGTATTAGTCCGATGGTATGTCAGCTTCGCCACATGGATTCAGTATGTGTCTCCCAACACTGCATGTACTCAAATCTTAAAACACGTTACATACCACATGCTGGCATACTGTGTGATGGTATGCCTGCACATACAGAACCCATATGGGTTCTTGATTCAGTATCTAAAAGGTCAAACCATGCCCTAAACAAAGTTTGGTGGTGTTAAAGGATCCATGTAGCTAGCCCAAATAGTTGTCATATTATAGCTTGTTTTTCACACATTACAACTTAGATCCTTTAACAAAGCAGTTCTATTATGTGCAAAACTAACAGTATCTCAGCCATATGATGATGAGAAAAGCTAGTGGAGGAGAAGAGAAAAAAAAAACAAAGAATAAATTAGAAGGGGAGAGGATAAAATACGATACAGGTAAGGAGACAAATAGAAGAGAAGAGAAATAAAAAAGGGGAAAAGAAAAGAAAAAAATATCAGAAATAACTTTAGTTTTGAAATGGTATTAATATATTTTTAACATATAAATTTTTTTTTACAAATTAGTATAGATAAAAATATAAAAAAGTTAGGTCATATCTTTTAAAATCTAGACTCATGTACTCAGTTGCTAGGTACATGTAAAAGTGTGGAAAGACCTCCACTCTTTCTGCAAAATGTAAAACTATCACTTTTCTGTTGACATCAAGAAATTGGGGAATAAAAGTTTTGTGGTCTTTTAGTGCACACATAAGGCAAATTTGACAGTCCAAAAACATTGATATTAATTACATGTGTATGCATGTAGCGATTGGTCTTCGTAATGTAGCTGCGTTGGTGATTTCTTTTTGGTTAGTTTGTACTTTGTACATTGACTAATCAGAATTTGGCATATCCTTCTTTGTTTTGATATTGGTTCGTGAGGACCTACATGATGGGACCTGGATATCGGTGTTATATACTCTACAGAGTTTATCGAATTCCTAGGATTTGAGTCCTTAACTATTCTAGCTGGGTGCATTTAATGGTGATTTTCCATAGTTCGTTTAAGCATTTTGCTTAAAGAATCTACAAATGAAAAAGCTGCTAGACAAACAAAAGCTTTAATCATAGATTGTTGCAAGGTTTGAAATATCGTACTGTACCAACGTTTCGACATTCGCTTGGTACGGTACGATACAGTATACCGAGCGGTATACCGATATATTGATAGAAAGAATAGAAGATAAGAAGCTTTATTAAAGTAACTTTAGCTTGAATGCATTAGTATGTCCCTCTCCTATTTATAGGGATTAGGAGGGAGGATTTTCCTCAACAGAATAGATAAGATTTCCTCATATAGTTGGGGAAATCTTATCTTCTATCATATATATATATATATATATATATATATATATATATATATATATATATA